TTATTTTTTTATAAAAATTTTCTCTCGTTTTCTTTTTTTGTATTTATCTTTCTACGTAGTAAATATTGTTATTTATTTTTAGACTAAAATAAAATCTGTATTCTTTAATTAAACAAGGATCCGTACATGCAGGTTGGGCTTCTTGTGCCAGCCACCTAGAATTTAGATGGCTTTTGTTAATGAATGTAGATTTTTCGAGGGGTAAGATATGAATTAGCCCATTCTTACATTAATCTGGAAACAACTAGATTTTTTTGTGTTGTCCATAAAAGGTAATTTCCAATCACTTTTTTTACAAGATTAAGTTTTTTTGTGGTTAGATTTTAAACATTACTAAAAAAACTAAAAAATTTGGGATAGTCACTATTCATTTACTGTAGCATTTTTTTTTTTTTTTAGCAGCCCTGGGTTGAACGGTATGCTGCCTGGCACTTGGGCCAGACCTGGCAGCTCGGCCCTCTTATGTTGGCAGCTCGCTCCTGCCCTTTTTTCTTCTTTCTTTCTTTCTATATATATATATATATATAGCATCCATCATGATACAGAGTATGTCCAGTGAAAGAGAGAGAGAGAGAAAAAAAAGGGCCAGTGAAAAGAAATGAGCAAATATAATCGATGTCTATTCAAGTTTTCTTTTTCTTTTGCTTTTTATGACAAGGCTTTTAACCCAAACCAATCTCCATTTTTTTCTAATACTTGAACTTCTTCTTTTTTTTTTTTTTATAACAATAATATTTGAATTTTTTAAATAATTGTTGTTGTGGTCTTCTAATTTATCTAAAATTAAAAAAAAGGCCAAGCTCGCGCCTGACTTCTTTTTTTCATATATATATATATATATATATATTATCATGAAATTAAGTGTGAAAAATATAAAAAATAAATCGTTATTTTTTTAATTTTACGTATAATTTGAAGATAATAGAATATATATGATGTTTGTTAAAATTTTAGTTTGAATATATATATTTGATTATATTAATCTTATTTCTTCAATTATTTATTTTTTATTAAAATTATTATCAAATTAATTTTTTGATATAATTTTATTTGTTAATAAATTTTATTTTTTAATATATGAATTTGGGAATAAAATTTTAGACCGTTGGTGTTTTACTTTTTAAAAATATATTATTATAATTTATACAATAAATTATTTTATGATTTTAAATGAGTGTTTTATTTTTTAAAATTTATTATTATAATTTATAAATTATGATTATATATATATATATATAGATATAGAGAGAGAGAGAGAGAGAGAGAGAGGAGAAAGTACGTTTTAAATAGATTGGCTCAATTTTTTTTAAAATAATAATCAATTAAAAAATCATAAGTTTTATTTGATTATATATATATATATACATATATTTTTGGAATTTAGCGGGAGCAATTTTGTTATAATTTTTATTTTAATCTATTAACTTCAATATATTTCATACAATTTAGGTTTATTTTTTCGTAAATTTTTCTATTTATTCTATATACTCTGCTTTTTTATATATATTTATTCAAAATTTATTAGAACTAATTTTTTATAGTTTTTATTTTAATCTATTGACTTCATTATATTTCATACAATTTAGGTGTTTTTTTTTGTATATTTTTCTATTTATTTGTTAAGTATGATATATATATATATATATATATATATATAATTTTATTAGAAATTAACTATATATCTATATACATAATATCAATTATTTTTTACTTATTTTTTCATGTTCTAAAATTTGTTTTTTAAATAAAATAAGTTAGATAATGTTTTGAAAGAACTTTCTAATTATTAAAATACAAATTTTTATACTAATATTATTAAATATCTTCTTAATAAATATATATAAATCAAATGATTTCGCTCAATATATAGACTCGATTTACATTAATCATCAAAAATAAAACTTTCATTCGCACTACATCATACGAATCGTTAACCCTACGTACGTAACGGTTGTTTGACCGTAGCATAACGCGGGTATCTAACCAATAACCTCTATATAGTATATATATATAAAAAAAAAAACTAAAAGAACCAGGGCTGAAAGCTGTTCATGCTACAATTCCCCCTGTTTTCCCCACCTTGCCTCTTTTTTCTCTTTTCTTTTTCTTAAAGACTCGGGCTGCTGAACCGGTCCTTCACGGTTTCATTGTTGTAGCATCCTTCACGGTCTCATTGCTGTAGCTTTTTAATTTTTTTCCCCGGATGGCATCCCTTTTTATTTTATTTTTCTTCTTTTTAATGAGTTGAGTCTGTTGAGATTTAGTTTGTCCTTTCTTTTTTAATTTGTTAATAAATTTGCTTTTTTATATGAATTTTGAAATAAAAATTTGGAACGTGATTGTTTTATTTTTTAAGACATATTATTATAATTTATGCGAATAATTATTTTTATGATTTTTTTATATGAAAATGGCGTTGTTGCTTATATAAATTCTAATGAGAGAGGAAGAGCTAAAAGTGTGTTTTAAATAATTTGACTTCATTTCTTTTAAAAATAACAATCGGTTAAAAAATAATTTGACTTGTTTTTTTTTTCAAAAAATTAATAATTAGTTAAAAAATTCACGAGCTTTATTTGGTTATATATAATCAGAATTTATTGAAACCAAATTTATAGTATTTTTTATTTAAATTTATTCTCTTCGATATATTCCATATAATTTAAGTATATTTTTTATATATTTTTTTATTTAGTTTATATACTGCGAGTCCGCTAAGTACAATACACACACACACCAATCGGGCACTACCTTGCTCTTTTTTTTTTCTTCCTATAATTTATTTTAAATTTTTATAAAAGTTTGGCCACCAATCTCACGATAGAACAAAAAAAAATTGATTAATTATTTTAAATCTGGATGTGTTTTGGGATTAGATCACCAAAAGGCAAAATGAAACCCTTAAAAGAATATATATATTGTCACCTGGATCTCCCGTAAGTGTTGTACAAGTTAAACAGTCATATATAATTAGTCCCTTCATCGGGAAATAAAACATATATATTATTGGTCCATTTAATGTTTATGAACGAATATTAATTATATCTTTGACATTGATGTTAACAAACATATCTAATTATTTTATTCTTATTGTTTAAAATTTATTTCTTCAATTATTTGTTCCTTATTAAAATTCTCATTAAATTAATTTTTTTATTTTTTTATATAATTTTATTTGTTAATAAATTTGGTTTTTTAATATCTTAGAACGTCAATGTTTTATTTTTTAAAAAATATTATTATAATTTATACAATAAGTTATTTTTATATTTTAAATGAGTGTTTTACTTTATATATATATATATATATATATATATATATATATAGAGAGAGAGAGAGAGAGAGAGAGAGAGAGAGAGAGAGAGAGAGAGCTAAAAATATGTTTTAGATAATTTGACTCAATTTTTTTTTAAATAATAATGAGTTCAAAAAATTCACAAGTTTTATTTTCTTTTTTATATATATTTATTCAAAATTTATCGAATCAATTTTGTTGTAGTTTTTATTTTAATCTATTGACTTCAATATATTTTTACAATTTAGATGGGTTTTTTTTTTATATTTATTCTATATACTCGAATACGTTATATATATATATATCGTTAGTTTTGTTGAAAATTAACTATATATAGATTCGATTTATATTAATCGCTAAAAACAAAACTTTCTACTTGCATTACACGATGCGAATCGTTAACCTTTTATATGTAACGGTTATCTTCCCACAATGTAACGCGGGTATCTAACTAATACCATTTGTATTTAAATGAATTTACTTAAATGATCTTAAAGCAATGTAAGGTTGGAAAAAAAATATTTTATTATATAAAGATTGCTTGATCTATGAATAAGAAACATTCCCAATAAATAGATAGAAAAATAGCATATGACCAAATATTTCACGTGAGAACCACACCGAAATTGAATTAAAAAAAAAAAAAAGTTAGAGTACTAAATTTATAACCCTCACGTCCTAAAAGGATTGTCCTCTTTTTATTTAAATCTATCCCAAAATACTTATTTGATCAAAATTTTAAATAATATATTTTCTTAAAATACTTTTAATTAATAAAAAAGGTATTGTGAAATTCACTAACCAAATTATTATTCTCATCATTTTTTTAAAATAATTATCAATACATCATTCACTATGCCCTTTACCAATTATCAATAACTATCATATAACAAATATTGATAGAGGATTTATTATTAGTTTTTTGAAAAAAATAATAAAATAACAATTTAATTAATGAATTTAGTAGTATCCTTAATAAGGAAAATCAATTCTTTTTTCTTTTTTATGTTCTTTACTAGTAAAAAACTTAATATTTTTTATACGTTTTTCTTATGCATACAAATTCTTTTCATATAAAAATTTTAAAGAAATCTTTTTTGTTACATAAAAAATATTTATTATTATAGAAATTTTACTGTATGTCAAAATTTTAAAAGTAAAATATTTCTATTAATATAATATTTTCTATAATTATTTTAATTTAATCTTTAATTAGCTTAATGATTTTTCATCTAAACCATCTTATTTTTGGATAGATTTTTTCTTAAATTAATATTTTATTATGCAGTATTATATTTGATAACTAACCATTTCAATAAAAAATATTTTAAAAAATATTAATATAGTGTAATAATTAATAACTGTTTTTAAACTGGGTGAAAAAATAAAAAATCCCGATTTTTTTTGGAAATTGAGAAAGTAGTCTGCTTTGTACACCGATAAACGAGGAAGAAAAAAGAAGCGTAGTTGAGAAGCTTAGGCCACAGTAACAGTAACTCTCTTTCCCGCCGTTTAGGGCCTTTCTGTATAAAGCATTTCCCGCCGCCTAATCGTCACATCCCACTCCACTCTCCTGTCGACTTCCAACCAACTTACGCCCCTCACTCTGCCATTCCCTCCCTCTCTTTGGTTGACCCAAAAGAACAGAAAAGAAAAGTAAAGAAAGCCCTCACTTCTTCAATTCACCATCTCTATTCCAAAATTAATGGAGCTTCGTTCTCGCAGAAGACTTTCCGGACCCTCCGTCAACGGTTATTTTCTTACTCTTTATCATTTCTCTCTCTCTCTCTCTCATCTAATCTTAATTTCTGTTTGGGTAAAGATCAGTGGTGCTGTTTGGGTAAATATCAGTGGTTTGGATTAAGACGAAACGAAGCGACTGATAGATTTTAGGTTTTCTAAAGTTTTGTGCTTCTTTTTTCTTAACCGTTAAGAGTATTTGGATGCTTAAGGAAATTTCTTCTAGATTTTGACAATTAGGTTTTCTTTATTTGTTTTAGGGCTTCGATTTGATTTTGATTTTCCTTTTCTTGTGTTCCCGACCTTGAAATATGAATAATTGTTGTTTGAAGCTTTAATTTGTAAGTTAACTAGTGTTTTGACCCCTAAGTTTGTGATTTATCTTTTCTTTTCTTTTGTTTTTTGAACTGTTAAGGAATAAAGTAAAATGCTGGTGAGTTATGTTTATCAGAATTGTAAAAATGATGCCTTGTCTTTTTGCAGGTGATGGTGAGCACGGGCAAAGTGGTTTGTGCAATGAAGAAGATGAAAGCAATCACATGGGTGGTGGTGATGGCTCTGATGAAGAATTCTCTCTTCCATCTTCAGATTCTGATGATAATAGCTTTGGTAATGAACTTACTTTCCTATAAAAAAAAAAAAAGAATTTTCTTCTTTAATCTTTTGTCTTTTCTTTCTTTCTTTTAGTTGTTTTTTTTTTTTTTTTTTTCACTTTCTTGTAGAGGTTCACTTAGTTTTATTGGTTAAAATTTTGTACTTGTATGGAAAAAATTGAATTCTAGTCTTACTCTTTCATATGTTTCAATGGAAGATATTTCCCAAAAAGTATTCAGGGTTATAATGATAATTGAGATGGTTTGGATATTTTATTAGGGGAAAACAAAGGAGTATATAATGTATAGAAAAAGTCTGCAAATTTCTTTTAAGGAGCTTATATGTTTCTTTGAAATAAATGAAGCCTGTGAAATCAAAGGGTACAACTTACTAGTTGAGATTGGATTGCATCACTGACATCCCAGAGAATGAATAGGTGAAATGGTTGAAGAGATGGGGGACTTGCTCTTAAATCATCAGGCAAAGGCTAGGATTGGCATCCATGATCGGCCAGGTAGAGTGATTTTTCTTTTCTTTTTTATTAATTCTAGTAGTGTGCCCATGCCTTATTACGTGCTGCCTTCTGCTAAGAGGAGTACTATGGAAACAGGTCCCGACAATGAGCAACAACCAGCTGAGCAATCAGAAACATCTCAAAAAAAGAAATACTCTAAGTCAAACAAGAGGCGCAGAAAGAGGTCAGGGGCTTTATTGATGTGGGAAGTTTGGGAAGAAGAGCATGACAGATGGATTAATGAGAATTTGACTGAAGATGTTGATTTTGATCATCAGCATGGATTGATAGCTGAAGCTGCTGAGGCACCATCTGAGTTGATTATGCCTTTGTTAAGGTACCAAAAGGAATGGTTGGCCTGGGCTTTGAAACAGGAAGAGTCTTCAACCAGAGGGGGAATTCTTGCAGATGAGATGGGAATGGGGAAGACGATTCAAGCAATCGCTCTTGTCCTCGCCAAAAGGGAACTCCATCGAAATTTTTTGGAATTCAATGGTCAGTCACCTTTATCAGGCTCATCCAGTGATTTGACTGGAATCAAAGCCACCCTTGTAGTCTGTCCGGTGGTTGCTGTAACTCAGTGGGTAAGTGAGATCAATCGCTATACTACAAAAGGAAGCACCAAGGTCCTGGTTTATCATGGGGCTAATAGAGAGAAGAGTTCTAAACTGTTTTGTGATTACGATTTTGTCATAACAACGTACTCTATTATTGAGTCTGAATTCAGAAAATACATGATGCCTCCCAAGAAGAAATGTGTGTACTGCGGGAACTCTTTTTATGAAAAGAAGCTCATGGTGCACCTAAAATATTTTTGTGGGCCTGATGCTAATAGAACAGCAAAGCAGTCCAAGCAAACTAGGAAAAAGCTGAAAACTACATCAGCACCATCAAAGCAGAAAACAGAATCTGACAAAGATAAGAGTTGGCCTATGGAGTTTTCAGAAGTTGAACTAGGATTGCGAAAAGAGAAATCACTTTTGCATTCTTTGAAGTGGGAGCGCATCATTTTGGATGAGGTGAGTGGCATGATGTAAATGTGCCTTGGGGTAATTATGTTCTGCTTCCTTATAAATATGCCCCACTTTGATGCATTGTGAATTTAAGACCAAAATAATATGGGAGATGGACAATTATACCAGGTATTATGACGTTTTTTCATAGCTTTCTTTGTCCTTGTGCATCTCTCCCTTTGTGTGGGTAACTATTTAGTTTCTTTTTCTTTTGAAGCTAATCTCTCAACAAATTTGGGAACCAAACAATTGACTTCATGCTTCTTTAGGAGCTCTCAGTTTGTTTATGGGTTTCAAGTAAATTCTTGAATTTCATCTGAAACTTTTCTAAGAAAGCTTTTCTTTCCTTACGAGTTAATTATCCTAGTCCCGTTTCTTTGAGAATTTGTTCTTTACATCTATTGTGTAACAATTGACAAACTGATAAACATCTCTTTTAGAGTATAGTGTCATTTCTTACCTTTATGCTATACTGTCATTAGTTCATGAAATGTCGCATTCCCATTAGTTTCTGCTTTGTTGTCCCCATAAATTCCATTCTTATGTGCATTTTCTCATTATTTCTATTGTGAAATAATAAAAGAAGTCCATGCTTTCTATGTTTCAGCACTCACCAACTTTTATTTTTATCTAAATATTAAGTTTTTCGTTTCCATCATTGGCACATCTTTTACTTTCTGAAGCGCACTTTTTTCCCCTTCATGCCCAACGTAGGCCCACTTTATAAAAGATAGACGTTGTAATACTGCAAAAGCCATTTTTGCTTTAGACTCTTCATACAAATGGGCTCTGAGTGGCACTCCCCTTCAAAACCGTGTTGGAGAACTTTACTCTCTTGTAAGTTCACTGCATTTCAAACCAAATAACTTTAATTATGTAGAGCTTTGTTGTCTAATGCATTTGGAGTTCGGTCATTGCAGGTACGCTTCCTGCAAATAGTCCCATACTCATATTACTTGTGTAAGGATTGTGATTGCAGAACTCTTGATTATGGGTATGGTTCAAGATTCAAGCTTGTTTATTATCTGAGTGACCTTATTTGTGAGCGTGGTATAAGGTTAATGATTATCTTATTCCAGATAGTCCTAAAAATTGGTAGATTCCTTTCTTATGAGCAATCTAAGTGTTTTTATATAATTATTTTTTATGGATAATACAAAATTAGTATATGAACCTCTTACGCCTTTCTAGAGGGCCATTTTTTTCCTCTCAATTTATGTTTGTCTTTTCTTTGTTGCCTGTTTGACATCAAATTTCTACTTAGAATTACTGGCTGTGAAGTTAGTTTCTTGTTCCAAATCAAGGTTCTCTTGCCATTTTACTGTTGCAGTGTTTCCATCTGGAACTATGATTATGCATTACCTGAATCACTTCTTCACTTAATATTTAATGATGCTAAATTGTTTGTTATTCATTTTTTTTTTTTTTTTGTGCTAAACCCATTGCCACTTTGTAGGTCATCGACACAATGTTCTAGTTGCCCTCATAGTTCTGTGAGGCATTTTTGCTGGTGGAATAAAGTGAGTGTTGCAGACTGTTCCTTGTCTATTTTTTATTATTATATTTTGTGAGCATTTATTTCTGAAGCAGTCTTTTTTTCTTAATGAATGTACTTCTTTTCCTTAGTACGTTTCTAACCCAATACAAAAGCATGGAAATGCGGATCATGGACGAAGAGCGATGATATTGCTCAAACACAAAGTATTAAAGAACATAGTGCTAAGACGCACAAAAAAAGGGAGGGCTTCTGATCTTGCTCTTCCGCCTAGAATTGTGAGTCTCCTTCTACACTGCTAGACAGCTACTTTATTAACTAGTCAAAAACCTTTGATATCAATCTTGGCTTCCTCTCTTATCCAGGTGATATTGAGGCGAGATATCCTGGATGTTAGAGAAGAAGATTATTATGAATCATTGTATAATGAAAGTCAGGCGCAATTTAATACGTATGTTGCCTTCTACCTTTGCTGCTTTCTTTTTTGTACGATCAATGCAATTTTATTCTAAAATGCTCCTTATCATTACTCAACTGTTTGCAACCTTTAATGTAATGTACGATTAACCTGCCACTTCTTTGAATTATTTTTACTCGTTTGTTGTTAATAAAAATTCACATAAATGTAATATGTATATGTTATCACAGATACTTACACAATGTGACTTTCCCTTTTCTGTTCTTCACAGATATGTTGAGGCGGGTACTCTGATGAATAATTATGCCCATATATTTGACCTCCTAACACGCTTGCGGCAGGTAAAAAGATCATTCACCATTGTGAGAATTTGATCCATTTACTGCAGTATCTTGGCATTCTATGATGAATTGCTATGTACCTGTGAATTATTTGTTGTGACTAAAATGTAGTGTGAAAGTTTTCTGAATTGTTCACGAGCAATTAAAAGTATTATATAATGAATACTGGAGATAGTTATTGCATGACTGAAACATTAAACTAATGGGTGCTAGCAATAAAGGAGTTAATTTCCATCATTTGTATTGTATTGAAAGAACAAATAGATGAATTTTCATCCTTCATGCCAAGAGTATTGTGAGTGAGAATTTTTAATTCAAATATGATAAATGCATTCGCTGGATTTCTTCCACATTTCCCATTGCTTTGTAGAAGTTTAGGACTTGATTTTAGAATATGATAAATGCATTCGCTGGATTTCTTCCAAATTTCCCAGTGCTTTGTAGAAGTTTAGCACTTGATTTTAGAATTTCTAAAGCTCTGTATTGGAAGTACTATTCCAAAAGTTTCATTTTTCTCATTTGGGTATTCAACATTGAGTATAGCTTTAGAGTTCCTGACAGTTTTACCAAGGAATCAAATGCAAAAAGGTGCTCTGTAGTTTTATTCTTGTTGTAGTTCCAACAAATAAAAACTTATCTTTTTTGATCGGTTAGTCTAAAGGCAAACTCATTCTGCTGATTTTCTTGTTTCTTTTCTGCAAAATTACAGGCAGTCGATCATCCTTACCTTGTGGTATATTCTAAAACTTCAGCACTAAAAGGTGGAAACATGGATGATGCTGGTTCTGCCAAAAATGCTTGTGGTATTTGTCATGAACCAGCAGAAGATCCTGTGGTCAGTTATCTTTTCTGTTCTTATGCTTATCTTTTCTTCAGATATTTATCTTTTTCAAAAAGCGCAAAGAAGTGTTTTAGTTTTGTGTGTTGGTTGTTTTCTCTATCTCTTAACTTTTGCTAGTGTGATCTAAATTAAGACCTATTCATATTAAGTTTGAGCTGTCATGAAGAGCCAAATATTTTGAAATCCTCTTCCAGTTTGGATACTAGTAACATTCATGCAGACGATCAGATACAACTATTTTTTCACATCTGCAAAACATAAACTGATATTAGAACTGCTAACAGAGGGAAGCATTTGTTCAGTAAAACGTTGTAGAAAAAAATCATCACTGTGGTGCAAATGCATCAGACTGCTAGATCCTTTTCATACTGATCCTGGATCACTTCCAACCCCCACAATATCTCTCTGGTTCCCTTGTCCTTTCCCTTTCTTATTTGGTTACTTTTTGCACAAGATCCTGCCATCGTTATTCTTAGTGAATTGAGGAGCCCCTGAAAAGCTATTTTCCCTGTTATTTAAGCTATATTGTTGAAATGTTTAAAATTCATTTTTGGTGATGATAAATTAGTTAAATATTTATGAGTTGACCATTGTAAATCTTTGCTACCAAATGAATAATAAATAAATCGTCCCAGATTTTATTTTTTCTTATATGGATCTGAACCTGGACAACCTTAAAATGATGGACATGTCCATGGTCGTGTAGCATATATGGAAATTTAACACACATGAGAAAGTAAATTTTAATTTAGAATTTGGAATATGCTGTTCTAGATTTCTATACTCTGGATTTCTGCTCTGCTGTGATTGTTGCATCTTCATATTTACTTCCTCACCAATTTTCTATAGCTCACCGTAGTTACCCACTAGTTCAAGAATTAATGACCAGCTCCATATTGCTGTGCTTCCAACTTCAATGATCTCTGCTTACTGTTAGTAGCTCAATCATTTAAAAACCTAAATATTGTCCTTGATTCTTAATATAGTGAAGTTGAAAAGGTATTTCATATTCAAGTGTCCTTATAAACACATTTGTTTCCTAAAAGACATCTTTGTAGTGTCTTCGCCATGCTTGGTTTTGCATGAACCTAACAAATAGGATTTGCAATATGGTCTTAAATTGAGTTTCTTTCCATAACATTATCCTTATCATTTCAGGTTACCTCATGTGCCCATGTTTTTTGCAAGACTTGCTTGCTTGATTTCTCTGCTTCCTTGGGTGAAGTCTCGTGCCCCGTCTGTTCGAAATTACTTACCGTTGATTTCACTGGAAATACGGATGCTGGAGATCAGACTGCCAAAACAACTATTAAGGGGTTTAGATCTGGTAGTATTCTGAACAGAGTACAGCTGGATGATTTTCAGACAAGTACAAAGATAGAGGCTTTGGTATGTGCTTATGGAATTTCTACATTTATTTCTATCCTTTTAAATCATAGATGAACCTGCTTTGTAGTGTGGGGATCAGTGCATGTATGTTACAATATACCTAATCATTCACCATGGCTTGACAAGATTTATGTATATAATTATGATACACTTTTAGAATAAAATGGCTAAAGCATAAAACCATTATAATGTTAGAAACCTTGATATAAAACGTATGTGCTGGTTAGGCTCCCTAATCCAGGAAAGAGAAAACACGTATTGTAAGCTAAATTTCATGTCAGTTGTACGACATGCTCCAAGTGTGCTTGTTCTTGCTTGTATGCTTTAAACTTTATGTGATTATTGAGTCTGCAATTATCCATTATATGTTTGGTTACACTGAGTAGTTTATATGGTTCTAGAGGGAAGAAATTAGATTTATGGCTGAAAGAGATGGTTCTGCAAAAGGAATTGTATTCAGCCAGTTCACATCGTTCTTGGATCTCATACATTACTCTCTCCTTAAGGTAAATTAAGATTTTTAATTCCATCTTTAGTTGTTCTTGAAAAGAGAAGGATTGTTTGATGAGACAAACTGAATACAGTCTGGCATTAGCTGTGTTCAACTGGTGGGAAGCATGTCTTTGGCTGCCAGAGATGCTGCTATCAAAAGATTTGCAGAGGATCCTGATTGCAAGATTTTCTTGATGAGTTTGAAAGCTGGAGGTGTTGCCCTCAATCTGACCGTTGCATCACATGTGAGCAATTCTCCTATTTGCCTTACTATTATGATTCCTCTGATGCATTATTACCTAATTTATAAAAGCGCGAAGCCATGAGAAAGGCGGGGCTTGTGATTTCTAATTGTGCCTTTCATAGCAGCTAAACTTTAGTTAAATGCATTTGGTTTGCAGTAGATGCTTTGGTTTGTGATATAATTTTCTTACATGTCAATGCAAGTCCTTGTTACACTAGCATCATCTTTCATTTTTTATTATTCCAATTTCAAATATGGCAGTATATATTTGATTCATTCTCTTATGTATATTCCTTCTTGTTTAGTCTTTTGATATGTTGATCAATACCTACACGTGATGGGGTGTAGGTTTTCTTGATGGACCCTTGGTGGAACCCAGCAGTGGAGCGACAAGCACAAGATAGGATCCATCGTATTGGGCAGTATAAGCCAATCAGGTCCTACTACTTCAACTCATTATTCTGATATCCTATAATAAGATGCTAGATCATTGCTATAACAGTCAGCTTGGCCAGTTGTAACAGTGAACTGGCCATGTAACCTGTTCAGACTTTTGGGTATTTTTCAAACAGAAACAATTAGACTCAATTGCTGAAAGCTATAGGTTCCCTGTTTGTATGGGAGATTCAGATTTATGGCCTTGTTTCTTTTATTTTGTCAAACTCTTTGGGCAGATGGATTAGGGTTTCATTTGTTGGGTTTTGTTTTTGTCTGAATTGTGTACTTTAGGAAGATGCATTATGGGATTTATATCTTTCTATCTTTCAGCGAGACTGATAACTGTATAGAGTAATTGAATGGGAAAATCTTTTTTATACGTTGCAAAGAACAAGTTCTGCAGTTATTTGTGAAAGAAAGCTTATTTATGGGCTGAAATTAGATTGTATTTAGGTCCAGTTTGGTATGATTTTTGCAAATTGATTTAAGTTGTTTTCAAACTTTTGACTCAAAGAAAAGTCATAAATATGTTAGGTTAGAAAAATCTTTTGACTTGAATAAAAAGTTTGTCAGAAAATTGAGTCAAAATTATGCTTTAATCATTTTTTTTTGAACTTTTGACTTATGGATTCCGACTTATTCTACCTCCCTTCAAAAAAGTTGCATCGAGTCAGTTTTTATCCAACATGCTTCTAACTTATTTCATTTTTGTTACAAGTTGTATACGAAAAACAACTTTTGAATTATGAATCAAAAGTTATTTTTCATAAGTCATGTCGAACAAACTCTTACACTAACTGAGACTTCTTTTAAAAGGGAGCTGGCACAAGGAATGCTACAAGTCCATGAGTTGAATATATAAAATTTTTTTGTTGACCTCTGATTGCCTTCTTTCAGGCCACTCCATATTTAATTAGTTTCTATAGATGTTTTTCACATCTATTTGTGATCATTTTTTTAGAATATGTTTGTATACAAATCATTTTCCGTACCTGAAGTAGCATGTCTAGAGTTGACTGACTTTCCTAGGAGGGTAATGCTGTCCTTGACATGGCTATGTTGGATAGCACTTTTGACCTCAGTGAATTTTGCCCCAAGAACTGCATAACCAAAGTTGTGCGCTGCTGTGGGTAAATGGCAGGAACTTTATACTGTAGGTGGTTTTTTCGTTCAGTTCAAGTTCCAAAAAAGAATTCATGTTGTTGAGCTTGAAGCGATTGTGTGCTAAAAAGCTTTATTGGGAGTGAGTTTCTAATTAATTGTGACGTACCAGTGAAACCATTCGATCCTTTGTTTGAATTGGTGACTGAATGATCCTGTCCCTAGTTTAGGTTGTTGGTTAAGCTGCACCTGATGACTGATCTGTATAATTTTCTTTCAAGGGCTCACATTGTGTTTGCTTTCATAGGATTGTGAGATTCGTCATTGAGAATACGGTTGAGGAGAGGATTTTGCAGCTGCAAGAAAAGAAGGAGCTAGTGTTTGAAGGGTGAGTTTGATTTTGTCTTATATTTGTTCAAATTGATAGGTTTCCACCAGTTATGTAGCTAAATCTTCTTTATGATGCCTTTTGCAGGACCGTAGGAGGTTCTTCAGAGGCCCTGGGAAAATTGACGGAGGCAGATTTGAGATTTTTGTTTGCCACCTGATTATAGTACTGCATGCAACTCTTAAAAAGCTGTTGGAAAACTAACAGAAGCAAGAATGATGTTTTTACCTAAGTAGGGTTGATAAGATGAAGCAAAGTGATTATTTAAAATATCTGCTTCTTTTGTTCTATTGTTTGAACTGTGAACCCAGAACTCTCTCTCTCTCTCTCTCTCTCTCTCTCTCTCTCTCTCTCTCTCTCTCTCTATATATATATATATATATATATATATTCAAGGATAAGATCTGAATCCTAAATCCCTCTTTTTTTACCGTTGTGCAATGAATGATGGCATTGCATGCTCTCTTTTCTTATCATGCTTTGCTTAAATCTTCTGTCTCCATCTGTTTTATCTTTGTTTCTGTATTGTCTTTTCTCTGTTGGAATTCCAAATGAACTACTAATTTGTTTCTTCAAGAACTGGAACTAACTTGTGAGTTTCCTTTGTTCAATGTGTAACGGTACTGTCATACTAAAATGAGGAAATTAAATTGTTCGTTATATGGAAGACTCTCCAGTATTTTATTATATAATTCTTCTTCTTTTTGTCTTTTTTTTTCTTTCTATTTTATAAAATGGCACCCTTTATCAGATGATAAACTTAACTCAAAACTATAACTTAAAAATTATTTAGTTAGTCTTTGTTGTTTCATAAACAATTTAGCTTGAAGAAGGTTATGAATGCTAACGTGGACAAAATAAGCCATTAACAAAGCAGCACAAACAAAAAACCAAAAGAAAACATACGGACGGAGGATGTTCTTATGCACTGCGAAAAACAAAGTTAAATAGTAATCGTAGCATAGATTGTTTATAGTTACAATTAAAAATTTAGCGAAAAAAGAAGGAGGAAATAATGGGTTTGTAAAATAGTAATAGGTTTATAGTTATAATTAAAAATATTTTGATTCTTAATTTTTAAATTTTATATAATTAGATTATTATATATTAACAAAAAAATTTAAATAAATTAATGGATATTAATAGAATAAAGAATGGATATCCATTATTCTGAAATCATATTAATTGATATATATATTTTTTATATTTATTTATTTTAATACTCATTATATTTTTTTAATTGATATTTATTAAGCTCAATAAAACGGATACCCATTCTATTCTCGGTCCGTTGCCATTCCTGTGATTAACCCAACCTCTTCTTCCGAAAACCAGATTCTATTTTTCTCTTTCTAATGATAAAGAGTGGTGCTTCGAAAAAGAATCCCCATACCCTCCATCAATGGTTATTTTCTTTCCTCCGCTATAATAGTAGTCTCTGCTTGCAGCAAAAGTTTGCTAAGATTTCTCCACTAGGGTTTTGATTTAGGGCTTCTTATGACTAGGATTTTTCTTCTTACATTCTTATTGTTTACTAGTCTTAGTGATTTTATTATAAATGGCAAGCAATGCTGTTCCGGAAAGTGATTCTGGCAGCGAAGCTATGATGATGATCCTATGAGTGGAAATGGTTCTGATGATCAATTTGACATTCCGTCTGTGCATACTGGCGATAGCAGCAGCTACAGTGATGAAAGTAGTTTTTTGCTAATTCTCTTATCTTTTACTCTCTCTCTCTCTCTCTGGTGAATTTCGTTTAGTCATATTTTCATTCGAATATGAAATTCTGAATTTTCGATTTCTTGCTTATTTGTCTATTTCAATAGAAAATGTTTCCTACTGAATAATTTTTTTGGGATATGATAGTGAGTTGGTTTTGTATTTTAATGACAACGAAATACAATTATAGGTGGAGTGGTTGAAGAGATGGAGGTTTTGGGCGTAAATGGTAGAGGAAAGGCTACAGTTGGCGTTCATGGTATTGTGGAAACTTGTTTTGAAAGTTATGAGATGGAAACAGGGCTCAGTTATGGGCATCGACCTCGTGCTCAGCCACCAAGAGCAGCTGAAATTGATTTTCTTAATTGGGTCGAAAAAGGAGAAATACAGTAACTATATCCCGAGGAAAAGGAGGGATGATGAGAGTACAGGGGCATTAATGCATTGGAAAATTTGGGATAAAGAGCATGAAAGATTGATTGACTAGAATATAAAGAAAGGTCTTAATTCGGATCATCATGATTGATTTGCTACGGAAAATGCTAATGCACCAGCAGAATTGATTGTGCCTTTGTTGCAATAACAAAAGGAATGGCTAGCCAGGACTTTGAAGCAAGAAGAGTCCACAACCAGAGGGGGAATTCTCACAGATGAGGTGGGAATGGGAAAGACAATTCAGGCTGTTGCCCTTTGTTACGGTCAACATTTTAAATTCATTGACTTCCACTATAGTTGGTTAGTGCATTTACTTGTAAGTATATCAGGGATAATAAACACATGTTAAAGGGGTAAGATTAGCTATTAAGTAAGTTGCTAGGAAGCCACATGTGTATCTAACACTTATAACTACCTTGCATAGCTGTTAGTTTGTTATTTTTAGTATTAACATTAGTTAGTTAGTTGTTTTATTTATATAGTTGAAGAAATCATAGGAGATGACATGTATAAAGATTGATCTTTCTATTGGAATTCAATAGCCGAATATTCTCTCTCTAGTTATTTCTTTTCTTCTCTTTTCCTTAAATTCTAGGGTTCTTGTTAAGGAATCCATTGTTGGATCTTAGCAATTGATATCGGAGCTTGGTACCATGAACAATTCAACACTCAATCATGGTGGATAATAATAAAATTCAAGCTTTGGAGGAGCAAAGTAGAAAACACGATGAGCAACCTCAAGGTCCGTGGCGAAATTTCAAAAAAAACGTGGAAGCTCGTCAAGAAACAAATGGAGGAGCAAACGCGACACACATAGCTTCAATTTAAAGCATTAATAGGGATAATCAAGTCAACCTAAGTGGAGAAAGACAGGAAAGGAACAAGGATTCTCTTCAAGTTTCTCTCCAGGAGTGAACAATGTACACAAACTAGTACATCCATATTATGGTCGATCAATTCTTTTGCTCGAATTTATGAACTCTTATTACATTGCTTGTATGCTTATGGTAGATTTGCAAATGATTAGTGGGAATGAAGATGAATTAGGTATAAAAAGTGAAGTGGGTGTTGAAGGAAAGAAAAATGTGAAATTTATTGAGAATAAGGAAGAAGGTGAGGAGAACAAAGAAAGTGAAGGGATTGTTAAAAATAACGACGGGAAGGAGGAAACTGAATTGAGGAATGAGGATGTGGAGAGTAAGGAAGGGAAGTAGAATGATGGTGATGTGGAAGAGAATGAAGGTCCATTCAAGAAGAGATTGAGGAGAATTGATAAAAAAGTGATTTATGATGAGATTGATGTTACACTAGATAAGGTAGTGCTTTGGGAGAAACATATGAGGATTAGAAAGAATAATGAGGTATTGGCATTATTTTATTGACATTGCAAAATAAGTTTCTCTCGGAGCCAATTAGGTCACATTTTGTAAATCATTTTGTCACTCGATGTGCCTATTTTCTTGGTTACGCTAGCGAGAATAACATCAATTCTTAGTCCCGGTAGAAACCCTATAGCCAAAATGATTTACAAAATCTGAATTGGATTTGCCATTACCTTGAGAGTCATCCATCACAACTTCTTTATATTCATGAGTAAGAGCATCTCTTCCCATGATTCCATTCGCACAAGACACAATAATTGAAGTTTTGGAAACAAATATTGTTGCTAAAAATTTGAGTCTTTTACTCAAATCAACTCCACTATCAATAACATTTGCAATAGCAAAATATGGCCTAATTGGTTTTGAGAAAAACTTATTTTGCAATGTTAATAATGCTAATACCCCATTCTTCTTTCTAATTCTCGTACGTTTTTTTCAAAGCATTATCTTATCCGGTGTAACATTAATCTCATCATAAATTACTTTCTTATCAATTCTCTTCGACCTCATTTTTAATGGACCTCCATTCACTTCCACATTACCACCATTCTCCTTTCCTTTCTTGCTCTCCACGTCCTCATTTCTCAATTCGGTTTCCTTTTTCTCGTCGTTTTTTTTAACAACTCTTTCACTTTCTTTGTTCTCCTCACCTTCTTCCTCGTTCTTAATAAATTTCACCTTTTCCTTTCCTTCAACACCCACTTCACTTTTCCCACCTAATTTATCTTCATTCCCACTAATTATTTGCAAATCTACCCTAGGCATACAAGCAATGTAACAAGAGTTAATGAATTCGAGCGAAAGAATTAACTCACCATGATATAAATGTACTAGTTTGTTTACATTGTTCACTCCCGGAGAGGAACTTGAAGAGAATCCTTATTACTTTTCTCTCGCCTTTCTCCACCAAGGTTGACTTGATTATCTCCATTAAAACTTCAAATTAAAGCTATGTATGTCGTGTTTGCTCCTCTATTTGTCTCTTGATAGCTTCCACGTGTTCTCAAAGTTTCGCAATGCGACCTTGGAGTTGCTCATCGTGTTTTCTATTTTGCTCCTCCAAAGCTTGAATCATATTATTATCCACAATGATTGAGTGTTGGATTGTTTATGGTAGCCATGCTCGATACCAATTGTTAAGATTCAACAATGGATTCCTTAACAAGAACCTTAGAATTTAGGGGAAGAGAAGAAAAGAAATAACTAGAGAGAGAGAATATTTGTCTATTGAATTCCAATAGAAAGATCAATCTTTATACATGCCCTCTTCTATGATTTCTTTAGCTATATAAATGAAATAACTAATTAACTAATGTTAATACGAGAAATAACAAACTACCATCCATGCAAGGTAGTTGTGAGTTTTAGATACACATATGGCTTGATAACAACTTACTTAATAGCTAATCTTACCCCTTTAACATGTGTTTATTATCCTTAATACACTTGCAAGTAAATAAACTAACCACTTATAGTGGAAGTCACCGAACTTAAATTGTTGATTGTAACACCCTTATTCTTGCCAAATGGAAAATCCATTGGAAAATTCAACTCAATGGACCCTTTCTACTACCAGAGTTCATCCAAACTTTCATCTAGACTCTATGCATCAAAGAGTTTGTAGTCCAATGATAGTGGTCTCTTATAAGAAGTCATGGATTCAAATCTTAACGGACTAGTTCGTTAAAAAGCTTGGAGCCAACCGAGAAAACAGGATTATGATTTTTTCATAATCAGAAAATATATGATGCTGCCAAAGAAGAAATTTATAAAAAGAAGCTCCCAGAGTATCATTGTGGGCCTAAAGCCTCCAGAACATCAAAGCAGTCTAAGCAATACAAGAAACAGGTGAACCTACAATATTAACATCTGAGCTGAAAACAGAATATGACGAAGATAAGACTTCACTTACAGAAATTTCAGAAGTAGAGTCGTGCTTGCTGTAAAGGAAATCAGCTTTGCACTGTGTGACTTGGGATCGTATCATTTTGGATGAGGTGAGATTGAAGCAGCTGTGATGGGGATCACTTGACTTTCTATTCTTTTTAACTTGCTCTAGTTCTGATGCACTACAACTACAAATCTTAGCCCTGAAAAAGCAATAAAGAATAGATGGAATAATTGAATTTGTATCTGTTTTAAATCTTTTGCACCACCTTCCTTCCCTTTATCCATCTTTTCATATGCATATAGGCAACTTTGAGTTGTTTGCCATTTTCTTAACAAATGGTGCTTGTGAGTGTGTAGGGACCCAAATTACCAACGGATTGCTTTTTCCTATCAAGTAAATTCTTGAATTCATCTGAACACTTGCTTCTAGAAAACGTTAGATTTCTGTAGAAGATTCATGTTAACTAATCTGAGTTCCCTCTTTTTATTAGGACTTGCCCTTCTTTTACTCATTTGTTCATTTTCACCATTAACACATTATACTTTCTAAACACCACTTGCCCTTTATTTTTCTTCGGGTCTGACACAGGCTCATTCTTAAAAATCTAGACGCAGTAATACTGCAAAAGCTATTTTCGCTTTAGAGTTTTCATACAAATGGGCTCTGATTGGTACAGGCCTTCAGAACCGTGTTGGAGAACTCTACTCTCTTGTGAGTTTACTATATCATAAAAAACTCAATTTTAATCTTGAAAAGTTTCCTTCCCAACATATGCATCTGAAATTCTATTTATGCAGGTACACTTCCTGCAAATTGCCCCTTACTTGTATTACTTGTGCAAGGACTGGAATTGCAGAATCCTTGATTATAGGTATGGTTCATGATGCAGGGTTGTTAATTGTTTATGATCTGATTGATCTTATTTATGAATTTGATGTAAGGGTAGAAGCGGTGTGTTTGAGATTCCTAAGGTGATATGCTCCTTTGTATTAGAAACCGAAAAAGAGAGGAAACAAAGGAAAAAGATTTGGAGTTAAACTATCATTTCCAGAGATCAGATACGATTTCTTTCTTAAGAAAGCTCTTCCATGACATGATTGGCTAGTAAGAGCATCCTAACAGGATGTCAGCTTGTTAGAATGCCACACAAATCTGACATCGTTTCTCTCTACCATGACAGTCCTGAGAGCTTTTAGAGCAACTAACTGATTTCACCTTCACGTGACATGTCGCATCACAATGCATTTAAACATGTCAACAAGGATCTAAATGATGTAAAAATTCATTTCATTCTTCATAAATTAGTCAGTTATTTTTCCGTTCTATCTATTCCTTTCAGTTTATTTTAAAAAAAACTTTCTAGGGGCCATTTTTTTCTCATTGGCTGCTCAGCCCTGTTCGTCTTGCGAATAACAGAGAATTGCTACTTAGAATTGTTAAGGTAGTAACTAGCATCAAGTCAAGCGATATCCTATTTTCATTTGGGTTTGCGCATACCGAGAGTGAGTTACCATTTGATTTTTTTTATTGAGATTTGCTTCTCTTTTTTTTAATTTAATTTAAAAGTTTAATTCTTATTTTATTGATATATTTAAATCCTAATATGTTAAACATACATGATAAGTTTTAAATAATATCAATTTATCATATGTCATGCTGATTTAAATTAAATTTTAATAAAAATAATTATTTTTTTATGAATTTTAAATAATTAAACAAATAATAAATCTAAAAATAGTTTAGAAAAATACAATTCTAACTCTTATCGAATAAAACTAAAAATTCTCCTCTCTCCTGTTCGTTTCAGTTTTTTTTTCCCTCCTCCCTCCTACTTCGATCTGAAGTTCCACTGCTTCTACTTCGACTGCTGCTACTAGAACTGGAAGTCTGCTCATTCTTCTCGTCTGCATTTTTCTGGGCTCTAAGGGCTTCTGCAGCATTGAAACCCTTATCTGCTTCATCATCACTATCGTCCACATCAGAATCTCATCATCAGTGTTGTTTTGCTGTGGTACATTGCTATCAAAGCCTTCATAAACTTTTTCTTCAATTGCATTCCCATCATCAGGTGAGCCAGCACCAAAAATGTCCTCGATGTCTACATCTTGATGTTCTTCAACTCCATCATTCTTGGGGCTTTGTGAGGAAGTTGTGACATTTGGTGGATGGGTTGGATGCTCGGTAATCGTCTTACTAGCAGCTTTTGTACCTATCGTTTGATGAGAGTATTATGATGCGCGAAAACGCACAATAAAAATTAGAAGTGGCAGATAATGAGCAATGATTGAAAATTATATACGAATAATCAATGGAGCCCAGATTATATTGTTGGATATGTGTTTTTTTTTAATAATGACTGACCTTATATATCATGCAATGTTTTGATTTAGAGATCTTATTTACCATCAATGGGGATTAGAGTTTATAATTGGAAAATTAAGGATTTGGTATAAGGGTTTGAAATTTGACAATTATGAATTGTAAGTTTTGATTGGAGATCGAAGGAGGAAAGAAAAAAGAAAAACTGAAATGATTAGAAGAGAGAAGGGGATTGTTAGGTTTGAGTGAGTAAAGGTTGAATTGTATTTTACTAATCTATTTTTAAATTTATTGTTTGTTTAGTTCTTTAAAATTCATTAGAAATTTTTTTATTTTCGTTAAAACACAATTTGGACCTGTCATGACACGCAGTAAGTTATCATTGACTAAAGCTTATTATATTTGCTTACGTGACATATTATGGTCTAAAACAACAACCTCTTAAATTGGACGAAAAAAAAAAACTTAAAATCTCAAGAAAAAATTTTGAATTATATGGAGTATCAATACACATAAAACCCATTTACTTTTTATTCCCGTTGAATTTTTTTCTATTCTATGTGATAATGCATAATTTGAACCATTCTTCACCTAAAAGTTTACGGAAATATTTGTTTGTTATTCATATTTTTTAACCCTGATGCACGTTTACAGGTCATAAACAAAATGTTCAATTTGTCCTCATATTTCTGTCAGACATTTTTGTTAGTGGAATCAAGTGAGTTTTGCAGGTTACTATTCTTTATTTGTTTTGTAGGGAATGTGCTGAGGAAGAATTTCTTATGCTCAACTATTTTCATTTTCGCTTTGATAGTACATTTCTAATCCAATCCAAGCATATGTAAATGATGATCTTGGAAGAAGAGCGATGATATTGCCCAAAGGCACAGTTTTGAAAAATATGGTGCTAAGACGCACCAGAAAGAGGAGGGCTGCTGATCTTGCTCTTCCTCTTACAACTGTAAGTTCAACGACTATATTACCAAGACTGCAACTCTATTAGCACGTCTCAGACCTGCTAACCGCAGCCTTTGCTTTCCAGTTTGTACTGAGGCAGGACACCCTGGACGTTAAAGAAGAAGATTATTTTGAATCATTACAGAATGAAAGTCAAGCACAATTCAATGCGTATGTCCCGTGTTACCTTCAGTCATTGCTGCTTCCTATTTTCAGTGTGGCTGACATAATTTCCTTCCTGGTTCCCTTTAGGAAATCACATTTCATTAATTTTCTCTCTTTGCTACCTCTACTTTAAACAATCGAATTTAACTCAGAACTCTCTTAAATCATCTGAGTGTATCCTTTTTTGGTTCTTATTTATTGTTAAGAAAATTCCACGACAGTTAATATGCATGTATTAGCACAGGTATTATATATGCTTACAAAGACTGTTTTGCCAATTCTATTCTATGCAGATATGTTAAGGCTGGAACAGCGATGAACACTTATGCATACATATTTCAGCTTCTAATGTGGTTGCGGCAGGTGCATGAATTATTCCCCTGTGAAAATTTGATCTGTTGACTCTGGTACCATCGTGTTCTATGTCAAAGAGCTATTTCCCAATGACTAATTTGTTGAAGCTAAAATATTATTTTAAGGGTGATTATAAGTGGTTTCTATTTGTCACCTAAATACATGACTTCAAGCGGCAAGAGAGGCTGCAAGGAAGACTAACAGAAGCAAACATAATTCTCCTTTTTTTTTTTTTTTTAATTTCTAGACACAGTTTATCCCTGAGCCAAACAAGTGTTGGAGTCAGATTTATGTTCTGCTGGTGTTCTGTTTAAATTGCTCTAAATCCACTCAATCGTGTAATCCCTGTAGATGGAAAATCTGTGGGGTTGACCAGGTGCTGTTCGCTTCACTTAAATCCTCTTTATCTATTTGGCAATGGTGAGTGTAGGAAGACTTGGCTTGATTTCTTTTTTTTTTTATATAAAGGAAAATCTGAAGATGACCTCAAACACTACCAGCCAATGGTTTATGAGTAGATCGAACCTGAAAAAGGAACTCCAAGCAAGACTGAATCAATAAGGACTAACGCTTTCCAGGCTGGTTGGTTCCATAAATAACTAATTAATATTCCAGAGTGATATTTGAACCCACCGTTTTAACAAAAGCTGCCGGGATTTCCACGGCCTTATGAATTGCCACAAGCTATGCTTGAGTGGGATAAATATCAGCAAGATTTATAGAAGCCAAGCACGCAATGTTGCCTAAATGATTCCTCAAAACTCCTACCATACCTGCAGGTCTGGGTTTATTGAGGGACGCGACCAGCCATCTGTGTTCCACTTTAGCCACCATTCTAAAGATTCTCCTTCTGCAGATTTAATCAGGCCATTGAGATGAGATGTAAAGTCCTCATTCGTCCAAACACGTAATCTAGTAATGAGGAAGAGCTTGTTTTCGGAGTCATGTCTTTCTGTTGAACAATTAGATCATTTTTTGAACTATTGGGCAAATATATTTGTAGCAGAGGTCGCAAGCGGAATGCAGCAAGATTGCTTCCCAAGTCTTTTGTTTCATAAATTTTAGGCCCAAGTTCATGGTTCTTTCCATAAGATGATAAAACTTCTCCAAGCCGCCCGCTCATCAAGATATCAATAAAACCGCAAAAAAATTCTCAATCTGGAGGTCATCCACAAAAATCAGTGAGTACGACTAGTTTATGCCAGAGCTTCCACAGAAATCACCGTTCAAGCGACAGCTTCTGTTTCAGAATGTTTGGCTACAATTTAAGAGACAGATGGATGTAACCCTTTTAATGGGATTGCAATTTACAGCTCCTCAACACAATCAAATTTACGCGCTGCATTATATAGAAAGTGAAGTACAAAATGTTCATTTTCAAAAATAATATACACATATCAGGTATAGCATGACAAACGTTTCCAAAACAATTGCTTTTGCAGAGAAAAAGAGAGAGAGATCATAAGAAAACTTGCATTGCTGTCATCACGAGATCTCCAAAGGTTTGAAAGCTCTTGCAGTTCAATTATTTTCTTCTTCTTGCTGCCATGTTTTGTTTTGTTCATAAGCATTTTCTTGGCATAGTCAAGTCTATAACGAGTTGCAGATGGAATTTGAAAAGGCTAGGTGAATATTTCAGTATATGTGGTTCGAACTTTGAACTGCGAAAATTTTAGATATATATCCTGCAGACTGAGCTGCTCTTGGCTAAATTCTACTTGGTCTGGAAAGATTATAAGTTGCTCATTGGGTGTTTTCCTCCTCGGTGTGAACATTCACTGGAAATTGATAGAACAATCCTTGCAATAAATTATAAAATTAAATTCTTTCACATGATTCTAAAGAAAGTTCCCAACAATGCAGCATTCATCCACCACGCACACCAATAAAAGTAATGCAGTAAGGCCTCTTGTTGGGACACAAGTGTGGATTCGGCAATTTAAGAGCTTGCAAAAGTGACAAATCCATAAACTCCCTATAAAGTTTCACCTTAGAAATTTATTCTGTTTAGGTAAAATAAAACTTTACCAAATGCAGTTTCTCATACATCAAGGAGAAGCCTTCGAGGGTCCTCCACAACATCTTTGATGCGGCGTAAGAAATAAACAGCCTCCCTTCCATCTATCAGCCGATGATCATAGGTCAGTGCAATGTACATCATTGGCCTTGGGACTACGTTGCCCTCAACAACCATAGGCTTGCTGACTATAGAGTGCATGCCCAAGATAGCAGACTGCAAAAGGGGAGGAAATCAAGTTAAAGAGGATTTTTCACCCATCAAGGAATTAAACCAAAAGGTGTTGTTTGTACTTTGTATGTAGCAATACCTGTGGAGGGTTGATAATTGGCGTGCTCAGAAGGCTTCCATAAACACCACCATTAGATATCGTGAATGTACCTCCAGCCATCTCATCAATCGATATAGTACCATCAGTTGCTTTCTTAGCTAGATTGTTGATGTTCTTCTCTACCTCAGCAAAATTCATTTTTTCAGCACTGCGGATAACTGGAACAACAAGGCCCTTCATTTGGGGGAAAGGAAGATGTGGTTAGTTTTTTCTTTCATTTTCGTTTCTCCCAAAGCCGGTCATCAAACAAAATAATAATGCATAATTTGTATTATTTGAAGAGAGCATTTCATCTTACTAAATGATGCAAAACTTTATTATAGATGCAAGCTGTCAATGGGTAGAAGAGCAAGCCTAATGAAATGGACTTAGCTACCCAACTTATAAAATCTCATTGAAAATAATAATAATAATAATAACTCAACCAGGACACCGATAACAGTGGCATTTCAATAATCTGAATCACATTTTTTTTTTTATGCTTTAATCAAGGCATTTTGATCTTTTCTTCTCTGACAATTTTATTTAAAGCTATGAAGTCATAATCCAAGCCAGTTAAATTGTATGCAAAATAAGTGCACTTGTCAAATAAATTTATGTGGTGGTATATATTCATTCGAAACAGGTAGCAGAAAACACAGCATTTAAGTCAACGGAAGAAGCAGAGCAAGACCTAAAAATTAACAATCAAACTATTTTGTTGTCTCACAGCAGGGCAGCATTAGATATATGTGTAATGGCCACAAGGACAAACCACCTTCAGTTTTCCAAAGTTGACAAATTGCTAAATCTGGATGTGTCTTAAACTTTCAACAGTCTTGTCTATTGCCTACCATCACTGACCTGATATAAGATGCTACCTATAAAGCATTGCTATCATCTGCAAATCCAATTATCTATAGAGTTCCTAAACTATTCCAGGATGAATTCACCAAATTGACATTAGATTCTGACAGTAATAAGAGTATATAAAAGGTATGTTAGGTTTTAAGCTACACAATAGAGGGTTAGATTTGAAGCTGGAGTCCTGGACGTCCAAGTTGGAAATCTGAAAACTCAAGCAATCAAGGTGTCACCTCTAGAACACCATTGATTGAAGAGGTTGATACTTACCAGCACAATTTGTTTCCCATCTTTCAGCAACACACAAAATGTTAGTGAGCTCGTCATTTAGCAGATTATTTCCCCATTAAAAGCATCAATAAATTGATGTACCTTTGGTGTGCCGACGGCAATGCTTATATCAATGTAGTCTCTATATATGATATCATCTCCATCAATTACAGCATTGACAACTGGCTGATACTGAAGGGCACTAACAGCAGCCTGTAAAAATAATGGTCAGATAGACACATTGTACAGTAACAGTCTAAAATCATAACATCCACCATAATATACATGAATCTGGTATTTTATACAATTGGCATTTTATTTACCTTGACAAATCCTGACATAAATCCTAACTTCACCCCATGCTTTTCAACAAATGCATCCTTATAGTCTGAACGAAGTTTCATCAAATTAGTCCTGCATTATATGGCAAACCATGTTACAATAAATTGAGTTGGAATTCAACTTTGCTAGCCATCCAAAGAATGAGACACAAAAAAAGGGTAAAAGTAAGTTGCAGTCCAAAAGGCACAATGATTCCATTGACTATTTTCTCTTTTTTCTCTTGTAGAAATAATATATATATCAACCATGGGAAAGACGCCAATTGCAGAATCAAATTCATCAAAACATGAAAAAAAAATTCGGGGTCTTTAGTTCAGACATGAAATTCATCTAAACAGATATGTTTCAATCATTGATGATGGAAAAAAGAAAAGAAGAATTTCAACTCACATATCAACCTCGTTGAATGTGGTCAGCATTGCAAATGTATTTTGTGAATCTTTCAACCGTGTTGCAACCCGTTTCCTCAGCCTTGTCATGGGAACCTAAATGAGAAAATAAACAACACCTGAGAGAGAAGTCCATTACCACCAAGGCAGAAAGTAAAATAAACACAATAGTGCATTTTCACACACAAATGAAGTGACCATCATAAAACTCACTCTTCTTTCTCTGTCCTTTGGCGGAAGTTGGGGTTCTGAAGGTTTAGGAGGTGATGAAGGAGCTCTGACTGCTGGTTGTGGTGGAAATGGTGTTTTTTCCTTTCCTTTGACTGAGGAAGTTTCAGTCTTAGTCATTACTTTTTCTACACTCTCCTTTTCTGCTGGAGGAGGGGGCTGAGCAGCAGCCTTTTCTTGTGAGGGCGGGGCAGCTTGTGTTACACCTTCACCTGATTTTGAAATAACAGCAATTTTGGTACCAGGTTCCACGGTTTCACCTTCCTTGGCCACAAGCTACTAGCAATTAAATAAAAAATAAAAGGGGGAAGATCATAACTGCAGCACATATCCATTACTAGCAGTTAACAGATGAGAAAAAATTAACAGACTTCTATAAGTTCAATATTCCTATAGTTCATAAATATTATTACCTTTTGAATGATGCCGGCTTCAGGACTAACTACATCGATTGTGACCTGATGGTAATTAAACAATTCAATCATATTAATGGTACTCAGTTTCACAAACAACCAATCTCAATTCTTCAGTCACTTACTTTCGCAAACTATCATTAAAGGGATTACCTTGTCAGTTTCAATCTGAGCAATGGGCTCATCAACTTCAACCCTGTCACCAGGTTCTGGTCACAATATGTCAGTTGCCATGTTCATTGAGTATTTAATGAAATATAAACAACTGCAAAAATAAATTGCATGACATCTAAAAATGCATACTTTTCAAGAAATTCGCCAAGGTGCCATCAGTAATAGATTCACCCATGAAAGGGACAACAGCATCAACTAGATCTCCTACAAACCCACAATTAAAAAGAGCAAAAATTAAAACACCATCCAGAAGCATAAATGTAAAGTTGATTAAACAAAACAAACATGAACGTATAAAGTACCGCTGTCTGAAGAAAATGATCTACTCCTCAAACAAATAAAATATTCCTGTTGAAGCAATGAAGCAATTTCCCTGTATTAAATTTCAAAACCTGCATTAGTTCGTTTAATTTATCCTAGATTCAAATTAATTTGAAATTGAAACCAAATATAACCAATAAACCAACAGGAAGAGAACAAATATTAAAAAGAGTGAGTCAGGTCACTGGCCTCCTTGTTGGCTTCGAATATACATGACATTGACTCCCTAAAAGACAGAATTAAAAAAAAAAATGTAAAAATTCAAGCAAACAAGCAAGTTAAATTATTCAGTCCTATTGATATTATTATTACCTAAAGTTGTGCAATAACTAAAGTTGCCGACATGCCGAAACTCATTGCCATTGCTCAGAACCTGCACAGATGAATTCTCCTACGTTACATAGGTAGATGAAAATGCCAGAAAGCCTAATTACCATAATATTCTCCATTCACATGTAATATTTAAATCTTAGGAAATAGCTGGTTCAAACGTACCTCTTTTCGGGCATAACCTCTGGGCCTGAACGCCGGACGCTGAATTCGTGACAGTGACTGACACTGTTTACATGAGAAAATTATTTAAACCAAATTAAAATTTCCAAATCGAACAGAAAAACAAATTGGTCCAGTAATCAATACGTACCGAAGCGACTTTGCGTCGAATAATTCCCCAAATCATTTCAACAACAACACCTCAAATCAATCAGTTCCCCCTTCTCTATGACAATGCTCAAAATTTAAGAAATCAGCTAATATTATAATTAAGCTGCTAAGATTGATTTTAATTTTTTTAAAGCGTTACCTGATTATAGAATTATAAATAAATACTAGAAGCGAGGAGAAAGAAGAAGAAAGTAGAATTAAGAAGAGGAGTGGAGAAACGGGAAAAAGCCGGTCGTAGCGAATTTCTCCTTTTAACACCAGCCATCAACTATAACTCGAGGGCATTTTGGTCCTGCTAGAAGGCGGGATTAGATAGTTAAAGCCTAACCGAATGTTTCCGTGCCACCCTGGCTTTCTACGTAAATGAATATCTCTTCGCTATGATGCACGTGGCAAACCATGCTTTTTATTCCCCCTCCACTTCTTCTTCGTTCCTTTATTATTAATTTTATTCTATCATCTGTCTATGTTAATTGTTTTGAATATCATATTAGTGTTATAAAATAATGAATGTCCATCTATTTTTCATATCCTCACTACTCATGATCCTTAATGTGATTCAATTCACCATTCAATTTGAGAAATTGAAAGGGTGATGCAATTGATGTACTTTTAATTATTCATAGTCACTTTCAATTCTCATCTCAATTTTGAGGCTTATAAATAGGCTTGATTGTTCATTTGTTGATGTACAAATTTGTAGAGAGATTAAGAGAACAACTTGAAGTTTTCTCACTTGTATTCACTTTATAGTGAATTCTTCTTCTTGCCATCCTTCCTTTAAATTCTCATATATCTTTTATTTTTCACAACATGTTATCGGCATGATTGTTCTATCAAACGACGCAAATCATCTAGCCTATTAAGAGGTATGTACCTAATCTATCTTTTATTTTAAATCTAATAGTACATATAATGTATATTTGAAAACTTGAATAATCTAATATATATTCTAATAATCCAATGCATGTTGTTTTGAGAAGTTTGAATATTATTATTATGTTTGTTTTTATTTTCTAACATCATTATTATATCTTGTATTATAGAATTTTTATCATGTCAAACCTCACAAAGCTTGATTTTGTGGCCCTTGACATTTCGGGCAAGAATTATTTATCATGGGTGCTTGATGCTTGAGATACATTTAAATGCTAATGGCCTTGGACAAACAATCATGGATGATAATCAAGAATCCTTGCAAAACCGTGCTAAGGCAATGATCTTCCTTCGTCATCATCTCCATGAAGATTTGAAAACCGAATATTTAACGATGAAAGATCCACTTGAACTGTGGAAAAATTTAGAGGAAAGATACAACCACCAAAAGACGGTAATTCTTCCAAAAGCTCGTTATGATTGGATGCACTTAAGGTTACAAGATTTTAAAATCGTAAGTGAGTATAATTCTACGGTATTTAGAATCGGTTCCCAACTAAAATTATGTGGAGAAAATATTACCGATTCCGATATGTTAGAGAAAACATTCTCTACTTTTCATGCCTCGAATATGCTCTCGCAGCGACGATATCGAGAAAAAGGTTTTAAGAAATACTGCGAATTGATTTCATGCCTACTTGTGGCTGAACAAAATAACGAGCTACTAATGAAAAATCATGAATCCCGCCCAATCGGATCTACTCTATTCCCCGAAGTGAATGTGACATCTTATAATAATTTTGGACGTGGACGTGGTCGTGGCCGTAACCATGGACGTGGACGTGGTCGTGGCATTAGTCGTGGTCGGAATAATTATCGTTATAATCGTGATGGTAATAATAATACACCTCATCCCCGAAGTGGATAAATTATGAAAAGAAACAAGAAAAGAATAAAGGTGGATCAAGTCGACACTTTGAAAATGAATGTTATAGATGTGGTATGAAGGGACATTGGTCGCGTACTCGTCGTACGCCAAAACACCTAGTTGAGCTTTATCAAGCCTCATTGAAAAAGAAAGAAAATGATATAGAGGCAAATTTTATATATCAAAATAATGTTTGTGACAATGTTCCTCTTGAAGATTTCGGTAACTTAACACATTTAGATGTTGCTCGATTTCTTTGAAGATTACGAAAGAAAAAATTATTAAGTTAATGATAATTGTTTGAAATTTTGTTACCTTTTGATAAATAAAGAAGTTTTATGTTTTATTTTTATTTCATCATATTAGTTTTCATTTTTATTTATTTGTTTGTTTTTGTGTTTATGAAGAATATATTGATATTACCAAGTTTGCAATTGGTTTAAACGTCATGGAGGAGAATCTATGCCTCGTAGATAGTGCAACCACACATACTATACTTAAAAATAAAAGGTATTTCTCCAATTTAACGATGGGCAAGGCTAATGTTAACACTATATCCGGTAATGTTGATTTAATTAATGGCTCCGGAAGAGCAAATATATTACTACCTGGAGGGACAAATTTGATTGTAGATGATGCATTATTCTCTCCTAAGTCCTACGTAAATTTATTAAGTTTTAAAGATATTCGTTTAAATGGATATCATATTGAGACAACAAATATTGAGAATATTGAGTACTTATATATTACAAAAATTAAATCGGGTAGAAAATATGTATTGGAGAAATTACTCGCTTTCTTTTCGGCATTTATTATACAAATATTCAAAGGATTGAAACAAATGCCATAGTAAACCGAAGTTTACTAATCCTTTTATTTTGTGGCATGATCGATTAGGCCATCCTGGATTCATTATGATGCGAAAAATTATTGAAAATTCGTATGGACATCCACTGAAGAACCGGAAGATTCTTCAATCTAATGAGTTTTCATGTTCCGCATGTTCTCAAGGCAAACTTATTATTAAGCCTTCACCAAATAAAATTGAGATTGACTCTCCGGCATTTTTAGAACGTATACAAGGTGATATATGTGGACCAATTCATCCACCATGTGGACCATTTAGATATTTTATGGTTTTAATAGATGCATCTACAAGATGGTCACATGTATGTTTATTATCAACTCGAAACCCGGCGTTTTCGAGGTTACTTACTCAAATAATTCGATTACGAGCACAATTTCCAGATTATACCATTAAAATAATTCGCCTTGATAATGCTTGGTGAATTTACATCTCAAGCTTTTAATGATTATTGCATGTCTATTGGAATAAGAGTTGAACGACTTATTACTTATGTTCATACTCAAAATGGTCTAGCGGAATCATTTATCAAAAGCCTCCGATTGATAGCTAGACCATTACTTATGAAAACAAAACTTCCTGTTTATGTTTGGGGACATGCAATTTTACATGCAGCAACACTTATTCGCATCGAGCCTACAAGTTATCGAAATTATCTCCCCTTCAATTGGTTTCGGTCATGAGCCTAATATTTCTCATTTAAGGATTTTTGGATGTGCGGTATATGTCCCAATTACTCCTCCACAAAGAACTAAAATGGGTCCTCGGAGGAGATTGGGAATATATGTTGGATATGAATCTCCTTCTATAATTAAATACCTTGAACCATTAACGGGGGATGTTTTTACGGCTCGTTTTGTCGATTGTCGTTTTGATGAAACAATTTTTCCAACATTAGGGGAGAAAATAAACGGAATAAGCGATTAGAAATGTTGAAAAAATAAATTACATGGAATACTTCATCTTTATATCATCTTGATCCCCGTACAAAACAATATGAACTTGAAGTTCAAAGGATAATTCATTTACAAAGTCTTGCAAACCAACCGTCGGATGCATTCTCCGATCCAAAGAGAGTAACTAAATCACATGTTCCTGCCGAGAATGCTCCTATTAAAATTGATGTCCCAGTAGGACAACCTATTAATGTTATAACAAATGAATCTAAAACACGCTTGAAGCGTGGAAGACCGATCGGTTCTAAAGATAAAAATCCTCGAAAGAAAAAAAGGGAAAATAATCAAGATGAAAATATAAAGGAGACGAGATAAAATGGTCCAATATGTTTTTGATAACAAGCTTCCGGAAGAAGCCCAAATGCTTGAGAAAAATCAAGAAATTTCGATAAATTATGTTAACACATGGAGAGTATGGGACCGAAAAGAAACATTCATTGATAACATCTTTGCATATAATGTGGCAATTGATATCTTGAATAAGGATCCCGAGCCTAAATCCATTGAAGAATGTCGACATAAAGATGATTAGCCTAAATGGAAAGATGCAATTCGGGAAGAATTAAAGTCTCTCACAAAACGAGTAGTTTTTGGACCCATAGTTAAAACACCCGAAGATGTTAAGCCAATAGGATACAAATGGGTATTTGTGCGAAAACGAAATGAAAAAGATGAAATTGTGAGATATAAAGCAAGACTTGTAGCGCAAGGGGTTTTCACAAAGACCTTGCATTGACTATGAAGAGAAATATTCTCCCGTAATGGATGCAATTACATTTCGCTATCTTATTAGCTTGACGAGCATGTGAAAAACTTCATATGCATTTAATGGATGTAATAACGACCTATTTATATGGGTCACTTGATAATGATATCTATATGAAAGTCCCGAATGACTTAAAATGCACGAAGCATGTAAAATACATTCTCGAGAGATGTATTCAATTAAATTACAAAGATCTCTATATGGATTGAAACAATCTGGACGCATGTGGTATAATCGTCTTAGTGATTATTTATTAAAAGAAGGTTATAAAAATAACCCAATTTGTCCATGTGTCTTTATAAAAAAATTCGAAAAGGGGTTTGTGATAATTGCTCGTATATGTTGACGATTTAAATATAATTGGAACTCCTGAAGAGATTTTAAGTGCCATAAATTATTTAAAAGGAGAATTTGATATGAAAGATCTTGGAAAAAAAAATTTTTATCTCGGATTGCAGTTCGAACACTTAAAAGATGGAATTTTTATTCATCGGTCAACATATATAGAAAAAGTACTACAAAGATTCTATATGGATAAGGCTCATCCATTAACTAGCCCAATGGTAGTTCGTTCACTTGATGTTCAAAAGGACCCTTTTCGACCTCGAGAAGATAACGAAGAACTTCTGGTCCCGAAGTACCATACCTTAGTGCAATTGGTGCATTAATGTATCTTGCTAATAATACCCGACTCGATATAGCATTTTCCGTAAATTTATTAGCAAGATATAGTTCCGCTCCAACACGGAGACATTGGAATGGAATTAAACATATATTACGTTATCTCCGAGGAACAAGTGATATAGGCTTATATTACTCTAACAAATCAACGAATGGATTAATTGGTTATGCGGATGCGGGTTATTTATCCGATCCACACAAAGCTCGATCTTAAACTAGTTATGTATTTACATATGGAGATACGAGCTATATCATGGCGTTCTATGAAGCAAACTATAGCTGCCACATCTTCAAACCATGCGGAAATACTAGCAATTCATGAGGCAAGTCGAGAATGTATTTTGTTAAGATCAATGACTCATCATATTCAAGAGACATGCGGTTTATCCACTAGCAAGGAAGTTCCAACGAGTCTTGTATGAAGACAATACCGCTCGCATAGCTTAATTAAAGGAAGGATACATCAAAGGTGACGAACGAAACATATATCACCAAAATTATTTTTCACACATGATCTTCAACGAAATGGTGATATTAATGTTCAAAAAATTCGTTCAAGTGACAATCTAGCAGATTTGTTCACTAAGGCATTACCTACCACAACTTTTGAGAAGATGATTCACAAGATTGGAATGCGTCGTCTTAGAGATCTTAAATAATGTCTTCAACGGGGGAGACCAAAATAGGTATTAATGTGTGCAAGGAATAATGTACTCTTTTTCCTTCACTAGGATTTTTTTCCCACTCGGGTTTTTTCCTAGTAAGGTTTTAACGAGGTATATTCCTTGTATAATGGACATTCGAGGGAGTGTTATAAAATAATGAATGTCCATCTACTTTTCATATCCCCACTACTCATGATCCTTAATGTGATTCAATTCACCATTCAATTTGAGAAATTGAAAGGGTGATGCAATTGATATACTTTTAATTATTCATAATCCCTTTCAATTCTCATCTCAATTTTGAGGCCTATAAATAGGCTTGATTGTTCATTTATTGATGTACAAGTTTGTAGAGAGATTAAGAGAACAACTTGAAGTTTTCTCACTTGTATTCACTTTATAGTGAATTCTTCTTCTTGCCATCCTTCCTTTAAATTCTCATATATCTTTTATTTTTCACAACAATTAGCTCTTTTTTTTGTAAATTTTATTTAATACTTGTTTGAGTAAAGGTTTTACTTTTGATAATTCATATGTTATATCTTTTTAATTACAAATAGTATTTTTAATTCATTATTATATTTTTTTGTTAATTAAATTTATGTGTTCTTTTTTATACCTATTAACATAAACTTTCGATTTATATTTACAATTTTGTTATACATAAGTCAGATTTTTTAAAATTACTCAGAACATATGAATATGATGGTCTAATTTGGTCTAAAGTAGACTGCTTTTTTATAATAATAAAACAACTTGTGCTCTTTAAAAAACAAATTTAATTAATATCTTTTTTTATGATTTTTTTTTATCAAGTAATGAATTCATTTATTTTGCTGAAGAAAAACTCTAAGACAGTAAGACGTGTGGAATATGTTCCGCAAAGAAAGAGGGGGCAAAAAAAAAAAAAAAAAAAAAGACAATTACAAAGAGACGTGTAGAATAATGCAAAGTTAAATCCTAAAACAATGGCCATGAATCCTAAGAAACCCTAAAAAACTGATTGGGAGTGTCCTGTACAAATCGTCATCCAGAACAATACCTCCACTCACGTATATGCTATCTTCCACATTTTTTTATACTGGGTTAATGCTTAATTTGGTACCTACTCTCTTTTTTAAAAGATATATATGTATATATTCCTTTGCTATTTTTTTGTTTTAATCTCAACCCGTTATATTTTTATTCTTATTAAAAAAAATTATCAGTTGGTATTATTAAGGCGATTAAAAACTGATACGTGTCATGTTCTTACAACATAAATTTTTCGTTGATGTGCTATTTTTGTATCTATTTTTTTTTAAAAAAAATTACTTTGCTCCTTATATTTATTTTTCGCTTAGAAAAAAGTCATTAATAGATTTTTTTTTATTATCATATTTTATAGTAAATATAATTTAGTTTCTGATTTAATTTTTTTCAATTGTCTTTACATGTCAAATCTAAATTTAGTCAAAAATTTTATAATAAATATATGATATTATAGAAGATAAAAATTCAATAAAATTAAAACAATATCAACCACAGTCATAGAAAACAATTACATATCCATGATCAATCAATCCAATCAAGTATTATTAAGAAGTTCAGGAATTGTGGTGGAATGTACGAAAAGCCTTATCCTATTGTTTGAGAATTTTACTCAAATTTATGATTTGACGTGTAAGGATTTAATTGAAAAAAATAGAGACTATATTGTAGAATAGGATGACCAAAAAACTTTCAATTAAGGATTTATTTATAAAAAAATAAAATACAAGATCAAAGTTAATTTTTCTTAAAAGGACCAAAATGTAACTAATGGAATTTTGATACTGCATGAACATGACACCTGTCGATTTCTAAAAGCATCAATAATACCAAGTGACGGAAGGATTTAATAGTACCGAAATAGTAATGAATATGATTGAGATTAAAAAAATAAATAACTAAACTTTTAAACAAAAACAATAGTAAAAAAATGTACCAAAGCATTAATCTTTATTTTATTCAGAATCTATCGGCTCCATCTTTCAATCACCAAAAGTTGTTTCAAAACAACTCGAGGATGTACAGAAGTGGAAAAAAAAGAAAAAGAAAAAGATCTATTGGTTTGGAGCAAATCATTGGACAAATGAGCTAGGAAATTTAAGGTTTATTTCTAGTTTTGATGTGCATTAGATACCAAAGCAGGTCCTAGGTAGAGCATCTCATGTCATTCCAAACACAATCATCCCATAAAAGGCTGCCTAAACCAATTGCATCAAAATCTAACCTTCAACTCTAAACAACATAAGCTTTTCCACCTCTTAGACACATCAACGTTCCAGATCCCTTCTCTTTAGAAGTTGCTGACCAAAACACCATCTGATGAAACATTATTGAGCCCTAAAACAAACGTACCTAACAAGTAAATAACTATATAAGGAGGCAGAACATTAGATGAAGGAAGGAAAGGCGGGTGGGAGGGGGCCATCCCTTTTTTTTTAATCAAATTTTAAGCTATACAATGTGGATTGCTCTCTTCCATTGAATAACATCCAAAACAAATTGAAGTTGAGATTTAAACATGTTTTTTACTCGAAAAAATTATTAAATTATGCATGTTTATATTTTATTTATTGAAGTTATTATGTTAGAATGCATTAGTTTTCTTTTGATCCACATCAAATATTTATATATTTGAAACTGGATCGAAGAAAAAAAAATAGCATTAAAATTATCCAAACACAATTGAGTATTGAATTATAAGACATAAAATATCCTCACACCTAATTCACGATTGCATTGCTTTTTTTTTTCTTTTTTTTTCGGTGATCCCATAAATTTTTTCTATTTTGATATTAATTGATAAATACTTTTACTTTTTTTTTTATAAAAATAAATAAATGAGGGTTCAAGTAAGAGGGTCTTTTTAGAAATCATTAAAAAAGTTAGTTTTAGTCAATCAAACACTATAGATAGATAGATTTAATAATATAGCACATAGGAATAATATCAATAAAGAAATCCAATAGATTTCATGCCTAAGTAACATGAATAAAAAGAAAAAGAAGAAGAGTTTAAACTTACATGCTTCATATAGCAAATTGATTCCAATTCATAACAAATACTAATCGTTTTCTTTAATTATACTGGATATATTTAGAATTTTTGGTGGATCTGGCCAAAAAAAAAAAAAAAACTTGCTATGGGATTGATTTTATGACCTATGGAAATAATGAGAGATCTAATTAATAGATTAACTCTTAAAAAAAATCTGACATAAAATCCGAATTAATGAGTGTTTGGATTTTGGAGCTGTCCATAATAAAACCTCAGAAAATAGAATTGCCGACATTGCTAAACCCAAAAAAGCAACTAATGACCAGAAGAGAGGTAGCAGGTGGCAGGCAGTAGTACCGTAGTTATAAATAAATAATAGACTCGAACGAGACGGGGGGAGAGAGAGAGAGAGAGAGAGAGAGGCAAAAAAAAAAAAAAAAAGGCAAATTCAAAACTACCATTCCCCCTATACTCTCTTTCTGTCTCTGGCTCGGCTAAAATTCTTTGCTAGTCTACTGAAGCAGAGCAATATAGAAGATGATTCAGCTGTTGTACACTGCAATTTTTGCCGAGATGGCAGTGATTTTGACTCTGATATTCAAAACTCCATTAAGAAAGCTGGTGATCATGGGTTTGGATCGGGTCAAGCGAGGGAGGGGACCCGTCGTCGTCAAGACTGTTGCTGGGACAATCTTACTTGTTCTCTTGTCGAACGTATACAGTATTGGGAATATTCAGAAGATTAAGATCGAAGCGGGCGCTCTTAATCCAACTGATGAGGTTCTCATGGCCATGCTCTTGCTCCAAGCCTCTCTTTTGGGTATTCTGCCTTTTTCTTTCTTTCCTTTCCTTTCCTTGTTGGTATAGTGTCGAATTTTTTGCTTATTCAGTTATTCGGAAAAAAAAATGGCTTCTCTTTCCTTCCTTTCTTTTTTGTTACCGTAAAGAAAGAGGGTTATTTGGTTTCTGGTAAAATGGGTTGCTAAGATATTGGTATTTTGGACTCCATGCTTTTATTTTATTTTATTTATTGCTTTTTAAGAAGTTTATTTAAACTAAGATTTTCTTTTTTAGGACTGAGGGCTTTGGATTTGTTTTGTGATTTTTTTGGGAAGCAATTGGATGAGAGAGCCTTATCGAATTTGACTTTGTTATTGTGGTGAGATTGAGTTTGGAGCAGAGAGAAACAACTATCTTTTCGTTGAGTAAATTAATCGAACACTAGTCGTACTTTGTCGGCTAAAAGAGAGTTTATCGAGCTCTGGTCTCACCATCCATTGAAGTATTTTGGGGATTCGATTCAGGTGTTACTGTGACTGTCAGTAGGAATTCAGCTTGTGCACAATTAGACAAAGCCAATTACAAGTTAAATATGTGCAAAGTCAGTTATGGCGTGTCCTATTTTGATTAGTTAGCGTCAATGTTGTAACTGCACTCTTCGTTACAGTCTAGAAGGGTTAATTTTGTTGCAATACAGAGTTGGTTTCTTGATTGTATATTCAAGTTGCCAAAAAGTGTACATTTGTGAGTTAGTATTTGCTTGCGAGTTCAATGGCAAGTTATTCTACAATCTTACATGCTGTTGGAATGGTGTGATATTTCGCTGATCCTGAAAATGGTTCATGTGTGTGTTAGTATTTGCTTGTGATTTATGTGCAATAGCAAGTTTTGCTTGTGATTTTTGTGCAATAGCAAGTTTTCTACAATCTTGTATCTTATTGGAATGGTGTGATATTTCGCTGATCCTGAAAATGTTACGTGCGTGAGTTAGTATTTGCTTGTGACCTTTGTGCAATAGCAAGTTTTCTACAATCTTGTATCTTATTGGAATGGTGTGATATTTCGCTGATCCTGAAAATGTTACGTGCGTGAGTTAGTATTTGCTTGTGACCTTTGTGCAATAGCAAGTTATTTCTACAATCTTGTATCTTGTTGGATTGGTGTGATATTTCGCTGATCCTGAAAATGGTACATGCGTAAGTTAGTATTTACTTGTGATTTTTGTGCAATAGCAAGTTATTTCTACAATCTTATATCTTGTTGGAATGGTGTGATATTTAACTGTTCTGGTCTCTTAACAAAGTTCAAAACCTCAGAGCTGGCTTGCCTGTTGCCATGCTATGCCATTCTCAGTAAGTGCAGACTGGTATTATTGTTAAAGGTTAAAGTTTGATTTTGACATGATTGTTATTTTCGTGCAGGCTTCTTGCTGTTCCTCTCACTGATGATAGATAGGTTACATCATTACATTAGAGAACTTCGTTTACTGAGGAAGACAATGGAGGCTGCTAAGAAACAAAACAACCGAGGATTTGAAGAGGGAAAAAATGGAGAGGTCAAAGCTTTGGGAGAAGAGGTTGAAACCTTGAGGAGTAAGATCAAAAAGTTAGAATCTGATTGTGAGGCAAAAGCAAAGGAGGCAAAGGCTGCGGGAGCTGAGGCAGAGGCTCTGAGAAAACAATCTGAAGGCTTACTTCTAGAGTATGATCACTTGCTTGAGGATAATCAAAGCCTGCGGAACCAGTTGGCGGCAATAGACCAAACTTCATCGCAATCTGATGGCAAGAAGAATATGTAAAGCAGTAATCATTTGGTACAAATTTCCCTTCTTTTAAATGCCTGTGAAGGTTGTTCTAGACTTCGGTTTAGAAAGAGTGGAAACATATAGAGTTGAGGTTGCGGTCTCTGGTAGTTACAATAATGTATCTTCCATTTTAGGAAGCAGGGAATGTTCAGCAACTTGTGCATGTTTTTGGTTAAATTATATGAAAACTTTTCAAAGCTACCAATATGTTACACCATAATATGGTTAAACTTGATTTTCGTTCAAGCATAACATTCCCTGTGTGGCTGTGCTGTCTAGTGCCAAAATCCGATTTTAATTTATAGTGAAAGTATTCAAATTATCTGAGATGCTTGCTTTCACTAACTCTTGATTCTCAGCACTTCAATGAGGAAGTAGGTATGCTTGTTCTGTCAAATGCCAAAATCCATTTTCAATTTATATTTCAAGTGCTTGAATTATCTGAGATGCTTGCTGTACTTTTGCTGACTCGATTCTCAGCACTTTGATGGTGAAGCAGGCTGTGTCAACTGCTTAGAAGCAAAAATTTTATTATGCCAGCGGTTTCTTCAAACAATTTTCTGCTGTTTTTTTTTTTTTTTGGTTGTGGTATGTTACCCTTTTTTCTTGAAAAAAAGAAAAAAAAAGAAAAGGAAGGAAAGAGGGAGAGAGAGAGAGAAATGTGGTGATTTGAAATGGTAGTAGAACCATTAAGATAAGGGGGAGACTGGTAGGTGGGCTTTGGGAATTGGTTTCCTTAAGGGGTCATGGAGAAGATCAGAGGATGGAGAGACAAGGCTTTGGTAGGTATGTCTGCTTTACTTTTCGTACTTGTTACTCCAGTTTTGCATTATTCATTTTCTTGCAAGTATTGAAGAAAATTTACTCGGTAATTTTACATCCATTTGAATCGTCATTCTTGCTACCATAGCATTTTATTTTACAATACTATATCTAGCTAAAAACTGGTTATAAGTGCTAATTATGATCTTTGTGGTTCTTTAACAAGTCAAACTGAATTTTTCTGAACAGACACCACAGAAAGTGCTCTGAATTTTGTAAACAAGCAGTGCTCCAAAGGGTTTTGCTAATGTGTGGAAGCATAAACTCATCAGCTAATTCGTATACGCTTGAAAGGTGAACACCATTGATTCCTAAGCACAGTCTGCTGTGAGTGCCTTGGCCTGGTGCGGGCGGCTGACCTAAGGAGGTTTGAAATATTTGGGTAGCTTGGTCGGATGGAATACAGGAGGTGAATACATACAACACAAACAAGAGCCAAAGTTAAGTTGGCTAAAGCCCTTCAGCCACGTACTAACCCCGGCCATGGCGGGTTGGTGTTAAGCAATTCCTATACAAAATTAATTGCATGTTCACTGGTTGACGAAAACATTGTTCCACTGTGGTTTGGACCTTCAATCCTTGACATATGCAAACTAAGCATGTCCTATGGCAACACTGGTGATTCCTATCAACCTGTGTCCTTTAACACTGCTTTTACTGTTGACCATGCCAATAAGTTTGTCTAAACCTCAAGCTTTTCTTGAAGAAACTAATCAGGATGTCGCATCAGGCGATTCTGGCCTCTTTTCTCTCGGTTGCAGGCAAAGCCGGTAAGCTTTGGTCATTCACACAATTTGGAACAACTTTTGTCACCTATGATCCCGTAACTGAAACCTCAGACCCTAAGTCAGCCCCAGTTGGACGTGCTCAAGGCATTTACGCATCTTTGGAGGGGCTCAATTTGCATTTTATGATCTCAATTGTGTTCACCAGTGAGGCCTATAATTGCAGCACAATGGAGATACAAGGTAATAGTAAGCAATTTGAGGCTCTTAGAGAGGTGTTCATAGTGTCTAGGACAGGAATGTTCAGGTATGCAAGGGTCTACGCTACATTCGAGACATATTATTTGGATATTCCTGCTGGTCACTCAATTATTCGGTGCTATCTTTCGGTACTTCATTGCCAGGAATATCATGGAGTATAGCAGACTCATTTATGTGGCATTTAGGAATATAGGTCTCACTAATTTACATATAAATAAAACAGCAACCGACGATAAATATGAATAATATTTTTTACATTTTTTGTTGATCTAAAATCTAATAAGAACTTTTAGTGCAATCGTAGAGTAAGTACATTTTTGAACTATGTAAATTTTATGTAATATGATTGTTTATGTTCTTTTTGATTGATTTATTTATTTTGTTTGATTTGTGTTCTAGGAAGAAAAAAAAACAAAAGAAAACCCTTTCTTTCTCGTTCCATGTATATTGGACTTTGGTAAGTTTGGGCCACACTGTGAACGGCCTTAGCTTTTGATATAAGGGCTTACTTGAGCTTTTGTCTTTGCAAATTATCTAGATACGACAGTTTAGTTTTGTAGATTGGAATGTTGTTTTTCTAAAACCCTGGTTGATATTGATGCGTTGAAATTTGTGTTACACTACTAATTAAAAGTAATTTTAGTAAAAATAGTGTTTTTTATTGGTTACCATGCTTTAAAAAGTTTCGATTAAAAAAAAGTCTCTAGAAGGAGTTTTGTGCTTTCCTTTGAAAAGCATATAAAAGACTACAATACCAAACAAATGTAAAAAACAGATTACTTACAAGTAATAGAAAGAAAGAGTGCAGTTGCGTTTATTTAAAAAAATAATTTTTCAATTTTAACCTTTATTCTAAAATCATTCTCCAAGAAAAATGTTTGCTAACTAATAATTTTAAAAAATAAAAAATAATTTCGCTTTTATTTATTTAAAATAGTAGATAATAGATAGATTAAATAACAAGTGAAATAAACAAAAGACTTGTTTTATAAAGTAGAGAATTTTGGTAGTTTTTCATTTTTATTGAAATTAGAAAAATGAAAACATGATTTCGAAAAATAATTATAAATAAGTTTCTAATGATTTTTTTTCCTACAAAGGTTGGAAAGCTTTCAACATATAAGAACAATCTAAGAGATTCTTACTAAGAGGAATTCAATTATGCAAGCAATTCCTTTGTGGTGCATGTTTTTAGGATCTATGGAAAATTGGTAAAGAAATAAACAAGAGTTGAAAAATTAAGATCAAAATAAACAAATTCTTTCGTGAAAGAAAATAGTTGGAAGATAAGTTGATAAGTGTATGCTTTAAGAGGTAGTTTAAGAAATATAAAAGCAATCGAACTTTTTTGGGAAAAAAAAAGAGCTTATTATGAAAAGTTTGGTCTTTTACTTTTCAGATCTAAACTTACGGACACTTTTCTCTATAATAATTAGTAATAATATTTCTTTTTTGATATACCTAACAAATGAAAGTTAAAGAGAAAGGAATCAATCATTTTGTCAATTAGTATAGCTAGAGTTCACAAAAAAAAAAAAAAAAAAGGTATATCTAGAGAACAACTAAAAATTAATAAATTATTATGAACAGAAATATCACCATTTTGGACTGTTTTGAATAAAGAGAAATTCCTTTAAAAAAAAAAAAACCCCAGTAGACATGGAACAGAATATAATAATAAAATTTTACGTTAGAATTTAATTTATATAGTGTTCAAAGGTCTTAGCTGAAAAAAATAAATTCCAGTACGTACTTCTTTTAGGCTTAAGTTTAAATATTTCAAGATTTTTTTTCAAAATTACATGTCTGATTAGCAGGGGCGGAGCTACATGCAAGAACAGACATTTTTTTTGCAAAACTTCATAATAATCCTTGATAGTTCAAGGATTTTGAATTTGTCCTCCTTTTATTCCATAACATATATACGTAGGCGTAATATGTTTAAAATAATTGTACGAGAGATTATCACTAGTTTGTGTTTTATAATTCAATTTTGATATAATGATTTTGTTTAAATCCAATATTATATAATAAAATAACACTATTTATATAATAATATATATCAAGATAGTATTTTTATTTTTGTCTTCTTTCATTACGAATCCTACCTCTGCTTCCCATGATTGGGATTAATATGTAAAGGGATCAGGTGAAATTTAAGTAAAGACAAAACAGTAAAAAAGACAAAAATAAAATTCTAATCCTGTAGCTTAAATTGAGAGTGCGAAGGGATTCTATGAAGATCGACTGTCATTCTATCACGGTCTCAACTCCTGCGAGATAAACTTTTCTAATTCAAACATTAATTCCATTGAAAAAAAAATACTTTTTTAAAGAGTTACAAGCCACGAATTGGTATAATTTGCATTTTTGAAGTTTATCTCATAATTAATCCATATACGTTTGAATTTTTTTAATTAAAATCTTTTATTATTTTTCAACTTTATTGTAATCTTCTACTGTTATAAATTTGTTGAATAAAATCTTTTATTATAATGTTATTAATTATTCCTTACACATGATAAATTAAAACTAATGATAATCAATCAGATAACGATATGTGATAAAAAAATTTATTCATATTTCAATTTGTTAATTCTTAATTAACACCAAAAATAAATAGTTAATAATGAAGGATCTTAATAAAAAAATTTAATTAAGTTAAAAAATAATAAGAGTTTCAATTAAAAAAGTTGGAACCATATCCGTTTAAGAAAGTATCGTTTTCCTACGTCAATTTTGGAAGTAAACTTAGGTTGAAAAGAGGGGAGAGCATACCACTTGCCAACAAAGCCAATCGTCAAAAATTAGACTACTTTGTTGAAAATATTATACTTATGATCAACCACATCCCAATTAATAAAATAAAATAAAATTCGAATTCTTTAGCTATTATCATCAAATTCATAAAAAAGAAAACGATTGGTAATAAGATTTATTTATGCTGTCGAAATGGCAGCAGGTATCCATTTAAAAGAAGCATCGTCAATAGAACTGCAATTCTAGCTAGTAAATTAACTTGCTGGCAAACTATCAGTGTCGCATGACTTTTTGTAGAGTCTATTGCGACATCAACTTGAAGATGGAACAATGCACTTGCCCTTCTCTGACCTGCAATTGTGGTTTACATCTGTGCACACCACTATCTACTCTTCAAGCACCGTAGATTGATTGGTTCCTATTTTAGGAAGATACAAAGATTTAAATAAACATTTCAGTTTTAAGAATAAAAAATAAAAATTTTAGGTATCGACATCAAACTTACGTTATCATACTAAATATTTGAACTTTCAAATGGTGGTACTCGAGATTAACATTATTAATTAGATGTGCATTTTGACACCAAGTGTGTATTTTACAACTTTAACCATAATCTTTTTATTATAATATATACATTTTTTAATTTGGTAAGAATTTCTGGAATCTATCATTTTTATTTAATTAGAAAAGGTGTTGTTAAGAAACTGGTGCTTTAGGATTCTATTTCGATTTTTTTTATTCATTATTATTAGGGTTTTTGAGTTTTCTTATTTAAAGAGTTTCAATAGTTTTTTTATTATTATTATTAGAGAATTTGATGAATAAAAATTACCGTATAATTACAGTGTTTTTCCTTTTAAAATTTTACAAATGCAAACAAATCTCGTATTCTTTTGCTCTATGGTGGGTCGTCATATCTTTATAATTTAAGCTTTTGACAAATCTCCCTTGGAAATTTTTTTTAATTACTACATGCAGGTAAACATTCGTTTCTAAGTTATGTCTTGACAAATCTCCCTTGGAAATTGAGACATTTGCCATCATAAATTTTTGTTTATCTATCATTGGATTTTTCCTACCCTTTCGAGCCACTTGAAAACCTACTATGGACCACAATTCGTAGAATATAACTAGCACATACACATCCAGTCTCAATTCCTTCGACCACAAGAGGATCAAGGACATAGCAAAGTCAATTTCTATGGTTGATTCTTAGCTTCCTATATTTATTGCAGTCCCTTAAATACTATAACTGTTGCGGACCTTTTTCCTATTCTAAAATGGCTGCACATAGTCTTCGTTCAAAAATTTTATAATACATAAAGAATAATTAATAATATATATAATAATTATTTTTTCGATCTATTTTGAAAAGAAAGATAGATATATATAAAAAAATTACATTCATATCATCTAAAAATGATAAGAAGATTTTCACGTCCGTTTAAATTTTTTTATCTTCTCTCTTCTATATTTCTCTCTCTTTTTGTATGTCTATCTTTCTCCTTAAAATGAATCCAATGAGTAATTACTATACATGTCATTAGTGACTCTTTGTATATTATAAAATTTCTCGTTTACGTCATGTGTACGAGAAATTTTTTTATAATTAGCGAATAAATTCCACTTAACTTATAATTATAGAATTTTATATAAAATAAAAAATATATATATGATTCAATTTCTCTATCTGACGCTGGACTATACTGTTACTAAATTTAGGGTTCCATTTTTATTTTTTTTAATAAATTATTATTAGGGCTTTTGAGTTTTCTTATTTAAAGAGTTGTAATAGTTTTTTTTATTTTTATTTTTTACTATTAGAGAATTTGATGAATAAAAATTAATGTATTTGTATTGTTTATACAGCATTTTTTCTTTTAAAATTTTATAAAAAGAGCAAATCTATTCTTTCTCTATATGTTGGGTCATATTTTTATAATTTAAGCTTTTGAGATAATTTTTTTTTAATTTTCTCTTTCGTTTTTTCCTCCTCAGATATGTTGGAAAATTGACAACTTTAACGCGCACAGAGATATTTTTAGAGGCTTAGCACGATCAATTTATGACAGGTCACAACAAAATAAGTTACTGTCATTGCACCACCTTCGGATTTGATAACCTGTTCAACGCTCAACCATTCGACTAGAAAAGACTTTACTTTTGATGTACAAAAGTTGACTTCAAAATAACATTACCATTAAAACAAAAAAAAAAAAAACCAACGATCATACATAAATTTTTGTGCTCGAGAACTATTTCTGAATAAATAAACATTCAGTAGGCTCATATGGCTTCGATGGGGTGTGGCTAAATCGGCTCATAAATCCATTACTCTTGAGCTCGACCATAAAGCTAGTGTGTGGGTTATTGCAGGTGAGAAGATGCACAACTTGTTGAATTTTTTTTTTTTTTGGAGATATTTTTATCTCACATCACTGATATGACTAATTATATTTAAAATGATAACGATAAAATTTAATTCTTTTAATAAATATATATTTAAATTTTATACATTGATAAAAAAAATATTTAGAAAGGGAATCACTTACTAAAACGTGCAGAAAAGAAGGAACGAGGAAAACACGTCCATGCCAGCCTTAATCGCACAACGAGAACGTCCAAATTTGATCTAGTACTCTACCGTACCATTGGGACATAATGCTCCAGCTTGGATAAAGGCACTTTTAGTGCATATTCATATTGGAGTCAATCTTACAAACTGATTCCTCGGGTTTCTACAATACCCTTGCCAAATTGCAAAGGCATTGTCACTTAAACCTATTTTACCGTGTTTCTTTTGCGACAAAGAAATTAGGTTTTTATCTTTCGGTACCTCGTTGGATAATAATATCTATCATATGGTGGAATTTTTAATGGTTTAAATTTTTTTATTAAAATATTTTTTTTATCATAATATCAAAATTTTAATGACCTTCGAATATCATCATTTTTATTTTTTATTATTAAAAATTAAATAATTAAATATAAAATAATAAAATTCAAGTTTTCATCTGAAGAGGTATCATATTTTGAAATTTTAAATAATAATTTAAATTTTAAATGGAGATGATTTTTTATCAATTACTATCCTAAACATTTACGGTGCAGTGCAGCTATATCAGCACGTGTCATGAACGCGAGTGGATGACTATTCCTATGATTTCTATCAAGTACTGTCGTATGGTACGGTATTTTTTGCAATAAAAGGAGATTGGATTTTCTTTTTTTCATAACTGGATAAGGTCAAAATTAAATTCATTGAACTTTTGAGTCATATAACGCTTTTTACCTAAGTGTCAACCAGATTTAGTTTCCTGCAATGGAGTTGGCAAGAAATCGAGCATATGGGTACTTTCTTACTACTTCTGTATAAAGAACTTTAGATTTTGAAGATCCCTAATGATGACCAGCAATATGAAGAATTGATCTGATCTCCACTAGCGGCGGATACAGTCTGACGATTGGCCACTGAGCTTTTGAATTAATTTAAATGAAACCATGGATTTTTAATGACTAAAAGTGATATTTAAAAAGAGTTTTGGATCGCTTTGCCTACGTGTTCTTCGTCATTCGTTCCTTTTTTCTGTGAGCGGCCAGGTGCACCTTTTCAGAGCGAAAAAATGATCCTATCCAATTTTGGAAAAACCAAGAGACAATACGGTGGTTCCTCTCTGTTACGTAGTAATAAAGTTATATTTGTAGTCTTATTCAATAATTTAAATTTTAAATTAAAATATTTTTTTATGGTAATGGTTAGTATTCAAATTCCATTATCTTCATTTTATTTAATTTAAAATATTTTATTGAATCGTCGTTCTTGCTTCCATAGCATTTTATTGTACAGTACTATATCTAGCTAAAAACTGGTTATAAGTGCTAATGATCTTTGTGGTTCAGTAACAAGTCAAACTGAATTTTCCTGAACCGACACCACAGAAAGTGCTCTGAATTTTGTAAACTAGCAGTGCCCCAGAGAGTTTTGATAATGTGTGGAAGCATAGTTTGGAGTTAAACTCATCAGCTAATTCGTATATGCTTGAAAGGTTAATACCATTGATTGCTAAGCACAGCCTGCTGTGAGTGCCAAAGTTAAGTTGGTTAAGCAATCCCTATCCAAAATTAATTGCATGAATTCACTGGTTGACGAGAACATTGTTTCACTATGGTTTGGACCTTCTATCCTTGACATATGCTCCTCTCTAACTTAACTAGCATATGCAAACTAAGCATATGCTAGTTAAGTTAGAGAGGAGAAGTGGCGTTATTTTTCCAGTAGTATTAACAGCAACTATATGACAATATTTATACAAGTTCTCTGCTGCAGAGTTCTATACAACATCTATGACTAATCAATGCAAGGAGTAAGTGTTTGTGTTGAATGATAACACTCATCCCTTATCCTTATCATGTTGTTGCAGATGAGTCACGGTGGGAGTTGCATTGTTGCTGGAGTCTCTGCTGCTTCCAGTGTTGGCAGTAACGTTGGAGTCTTTGCTGGAGCTTCTGTTTCTGCCATCCTTAGAGTTCCTGTCAGAGAGGAACTCAGACGCGTCTAATAATGCTATGGCAACAGTACTGGTGATTCCTATCAACCTGTGTCCTATAACACTGCTTTTACTCTTGACCATGCCAATAAATCTGTCTAAACCTCAAGCTTTTCTTAAAGAAGCTAAGATGTCTGTATCTTCAGGATGTCGCATCAGGCGATTCTGGCCACTGTTCTCACCGCTGTAAGCATAGCCGACAAGCTTTGGTCATTCACACAATTTGGAACAACTTTTGTCACCTATGATCCCATAACTGAAACCTCAGCCCCAGTTGGACGTGCTCAAGGCATTTACGCATCTTTGGATGGGCTCAATTTGCATGTCATGATCTCAACTGTGTTCACCAGTGAGGCCTATAATGGCAGCACAATGGAGATACAAAGTAATAGTGAGCAATTTCAGGCCGTTAGAGAGGTGTTCATATTGTCTAGGACAGGAATGTTCAGGTATGCAAGGGACTATGCTACATTCGAGACATATTATTTGGATATTCCTGCTGGTTACTCGGTTATTCGGTGCTGTCTTTGGGTACTTCATTGCCAGGAATATCATGGAGTATAGCAGACTCATTTATGTGGCATTTAGGAATAGAGGTCTCGCTAATTTACATATAAACAAAACAGCAACTGACTATAAATATGAAAAATATTTTTTGTATTTGTTGTTGGTGAAAAACTTAATAATAAATTGTAGTGCAGTGGTTGAGTAGATATATTTATTAAATTATGTAAATTATTTATTAAATTATGTAAATTTTAAGTTGTGTGATTGTTTATGATCTTTCTATTTTATTTTCTTATTTGATTCAAAAAAAAAAAAAAAAAACCTTTCTTTCTGGTTCCATGTATATTGTCAATGACTTTGGTAAGTTTCGGCCATCCTTTAAGCGGCCTTAGATTGTTGATTTAAGGGCTTACTTGGGCTTTTGTCTTTGTAAGTTATCTGGATACAAAGTTTAGTTTTGTAGATTAGACATTTGGAGTAATGTCTTTCTAAAACCCTGATTGATATTGATGTCTTGTACTTTGTGTTACACTATGAGTTAAAAGTAATTTTAGTAAAAATAGTGTTTTTTATTGGTTACCATGCTTTAAAAAGTTTCGATTAAAAAAAAAAAATTTGTCTCTAGGAGGAGTTTTGTGCTTACTTTGAAAAGCATATAAAACACAACAATACCAAACAAATGTAAAAGTAGATCATTTGCAAGTAATAGAAAGAAAGAGTGCAGTTGTGTTTATTTTAGAAGATAAATTTTCAATTTTAATCTTTATTCTAAAATCATTCTCCAAGAAAAATGTTTGCTAACTAATAATTTAAAAAAAAAATTCCTTTTCATTTATATAAAATTGTAGATAATAGATAGACTAAATAACAAGTGAAATAAACAAAAGGCTTTTTTTTTTTTTTTTTTATGAAGTCGAGACTTTTGGTAGTTTTTCACTTTTTTTTTATTGAAACTAGAAAAATAGAATCATGATTTCCAAAAATAATTATAAATACGTTTCTAATGATTTTTTTTTTCTACGAAGGTTGGAAAGTTTTCAACATATAAGCACGATCTAAGAGATTCTAACTAAGAGGAATACAATTATACAAGCAATTCCTTTGGGGTGTTTTAAGGATCTATAGAAAATTGGTACTTCAAAAAAATTGGTAAAAGCGATAAATAAGAGATTAAAATTTAAGATTAAAATAAACAAATTCTTTTGTGAAAGAAAATAATTGGAAGATAATTAAGTTGATAAGTTTATGCTTTAAGAGGTAGTTTAAGAAATATAAAAGCAATCGAACTTTTTTCTTTAAAAAAAAAGAGCTTATCAGGAAAAGTTTGGTCTTTTACTTATTAGATCTAAACTTATTGACACTTTTCTCTATAATAATTAGAAATAATATTTCTTCTTTGATATACCTAATGAATGAAAGTTAAAGAGAAAGGAATCAATCATTTTGTCAATTAGTTCACAAAAAAAAAAATAGTATAGCTAATTAAAGAACCAGTAAAAATTAATAAATTATTATGAAGAGAAATATCACCATTTTGGACTGTTTTGAATACTTATTTGGAAGATAAATTCCTAAAAAGAAAAAGAAAAAAAAATTCAGTAGACTTGGAGCAGAATATAATAATAAAATTCCTCTTTTTTTTTTTTTTTTTCTCGAACATTGAATTTTTTTTAATTTCTGTTTCTTAATAGTATTTGGTGTTAAAATTTTAAAAGAACCAACAATTAATTGGGTGTTAAAATTTTAAAGAAACCAACAATTTATTTCCTTTATTATTTATTAAAAAAAAATAGTTAAATACAAAATTTTTAATTATTTTTTACTATAAAACAGATTATTAAATTAAAATAATTTTTCTAAATGATTTTATATATTTTATCCAACCCGCATAGATAGCGCAGATAAAAAATCTAATACTATATACTAAAGAAAAACCATTTTTCATCTGTAGCAATGAACGTTGTTAATTATTGTTCATTGCTATATTACTTTGGCTTTTTTTTTTTTTTTTGCCAGCAATCGCTGGCCTCCCCCCCTTTTTTACCCGTTTATTATTCATTTGAATGGTAAAAGGCTTGCCCTCTTTTTTTTTTTTTTTCTCTAAACACTAATTTTTTTTTAATTTCTGTTCGTTTACTATTGACATGAACAATGAAACTACTAGCCTCCTTTTTTTTTTTTTCCTAAACATTGATTTTTTTTAATTTTAATTTCTTAATAATATTAGGTGTTAAAATTTTAAAAGAATCAACAATTAATTAGGTGTTAAAATTTTAAAGAAATCAATAATTTATTTGCTTTGTTATTTATTTCTAAAATTTTAAAAAACAAATAAGAAATAGTTAAATATAAATTTTTTTCATTTAAAAATTATAATTATTTTTTATCATAAAATAGATTATTAAACTGAAATAATTTTTCTATATGATTTTATATATTTTATCCGATCTATACTGTAGCACGGGTAAAAAATTTAGTTCGTTTCTAAGTTATGTCTTGACAATTCTCCCTTGGAAATTGAGACATTTGCCATCATAAATGTTTGTTTATCTATCATTGGATTTTTCCTACTATTCGAGCCTCTTGAAAACCTACTATGGACCACAATTCGTAGTATATAACTAGCACATACACGTCCAGTCTCAATTCCTTCGAGCACAAGACGATCAAGGACATGGCAAAGTCAATTTCTATGGTTGATTTTTAGCTTCCTATATTTATTGCAGTCCCTTAAATACTCTAACTGTTGCGGACCTTTTTTCTATTCTAAAATGGCTGCACATAGTTTACGTCATGTGTACGAGAAATTGTTTTGTAATTAGCGAACTAATTCCACTTACTTTATAATTATAGAATTTTATATAAAATAAAAAAATGATTCAATTTCTCTATCTGACGCTGGACTATACTGTTTCTAAATTTAGGATTCTATTTTTATTTTATTTTTTAAAGTATTATTAGGGTTTTTGAGTTTTCTTAATTAAAGAGTTGTAATAATTATTTTTTTTTTTACTATTAGAGAATTTGATGAATAAAAATTAATGTATTTATATTTTTTATACAGTGTTTTTTCTTTTAAAATTTTGCAAATAAGAGCAAATCTATTCTTTCGCTATATGTTGGGTCATATTTTTATAATTTACGCTTTTGAGATAATTTTTTTAAATTTTTTCTTTCTTTTTTCTTCCTCGAATATGTTGGAAAATTGACAAGTTTAACGAGCATAGAGATATTTTTAGAGGCTTAGCATGATCAATTTATGAAAGGTCACAGCAAAATAAGTTACTGTCATTAATTGCACCACCTTCGGATTTGATAACCTGTTTAACGCTCAACCATTCGACTAGAAAAGACTTTACTTTTGACGTACAAAAGCTGACTTCAAAATAACATTACCATTAAAACAAAATAAAAAATAAAGATAAAAAAAGCAACGATCGCACATAAATTTTTGTGCTCAAGAACTATTTCTGAATAAATAATTAAATATACATTCAGTATGCTCATATGGCTTCGATGGGGTGTGGCTAAATCGGCTCATAAATCCATTACTCTTGAGCTTGACCATTAAGCCAGTGTGTGCAGGTGAGAAGATGCACAACTTGTTGATTTTTTTTTCTTTTTTAAGATATTGTATGACTAATTATATTGAAAATGCAAACGACAACAACAAATATGAATTCGAATTTTATATAAAAAAATCATTTGGAGATCGGACTCATTCATTATTAGGCTGAGAACCTTTTAGTACAACTTGATGGATAAAATTTGTTTCTGTTCGTACATATGCTGGGAAAACGTGCAGAAGAGAAGGAACGAGGCAAGCACGTCCATGCCAGCGCTAATAGCACGATGAGAACGTCCAAATTTGATCTAGTACTCTACCGTACAATTGTCACTTAATGCTCCAGCTTGGATACAGGACTTATAGTGCATGTTCATACAGGAGTCAATCTTACCAACTGATTCCTCGGGTTTCTACCATACCTTGCCAAATTGCAAAGGCATTGAAACTTAAACCTATTTTACCGAGTTTCTTAGGCTTCTATCTTTTGGTACGTTGTTAAATAATAATATCTATCATATGATGGAATTTTTAATAAATTTTTTTATCATGATATCAAAATTTTGATAACTTAACGATTACAAATTCAAAACTTATTATTTTTATTTTTTTATTATTAAAAATTAAATAATTAAATATAAAATAATGAAATTCAAGTTTTTATTTAAGAATATACTGTATTTTAAAATTTTAAATAATAATTTAAATTTTTAAGTTGAGAACTTTAAACATTTACATTGCAGTGTAGCTATATCAGCATGCATATGTCATGAATGTGAGGGGATGACTCTTCCTATGATTTCTATCAAGTACTATCGTATGGTAGGGTATTTTTTGCAATAAAAGGAGACTGGATTTTCTTTTTTTTCATAGCTGAATGGATAAGGTCAAAATTAAATTCATTGAACTTTTGAGTCATGTTACGCTTTTTACCTAAGTGCCAACCAGGTTTAGTTTCTTGCAATGGAGTTGGCAAGAAATCGAGTATATGGGTACTTTCTTACTACTTCTGTATAAAGCACTTTAGATTTTGAAAATCCCTAATGATGACCAGCAATATGAAGAATTGATCTGATCTCCACTAGCGACGGATACAATCTGACGAATGGCCACTGAGCTTTTGAATTAATTTAAATGAAACCATGGATTTTAATGACTAAAAGCGATATTTAAAAAGAGTTTTGGATCGCTTTGCCTGCGTGTTCTTCGTCATTCGTTCCTTTTTTCTGCGAGCGGCCAGGTGCACCTTTTCAGAGCGAAAAAATGATCCTATCTAGTTTTGGAAAAACTAAGAGACAATACGGCGGTTCCTCTCTATTACGTAGTAATAAAGTTATACTTGTAGTCTTATTCAATAACTAAAATATTTTTTATGCAGTAATGGTTATGAATTCTAATTTCATTATCTTCATTTTATTTAATTTAAAAAATAATAAATAAAATATTAATAAATATGTATAAATTTTAAATTCAAAAAAAAATTATTTAATAG